AAAAAAAAAGCAAGTACTAGAATTTTAAGATCTATTTTCACAGATTTACATAAGTAGTTTTTAACTCCATAAAATCTGAGCAGCGTATCAGTTTTGTAATGACTTGATTGTAGTGTTTTTATCCATACTGAAACATGTACAGAAAAATAAAGTAGTTCTTTATAAAGAGTCAAAGGGCCGAAACTGAAGTTATGGTTAAATGGTATAGTAACTAATTTCTAGGACTAGCAGTACCATGTAATACTGTCTGTCCAGTGCACAATCATTTCATTTCAAATTTCAGTGCAGTAGCTTTCTATTGATAGCTTCTATTTGAGTTAGCTGTTGTCCACACTGATGCAGCCAGCATCAACACTTGATTTTGACTAATAAACAGTGTTTATTGTTTATTCTTACTAATAGGTCAGAAATGTAATTGTGCTAAGACCAGATACAGATCACTTCTTTACCACATGTCGTTTGCTACAGCTAATGAAAACCATGGCCTCGCAGGTGATGGAGGAAAAAAACCCAAACCAGCAGAACTCTGGGCTGTAGCAAATGGTGGTACATTCTTTAGTGGGGAGGAACTGGCAGGAGACTTTAGCCTCATATTTTAACTTTCCAAGATGATAAGATTTGGAGTTTATGAAAAAATATATATATATTGTGGGGGTGGAAAGGGGAAGGAGTGTTAGGTGTAGCAAAAGTGGTCATCTCATTCTTTTCTCTATGTAAGGAAAGCAAACAGGGAAGAAGTACTTTTAGAGGAGGAACAGTAAAATTTCTGTATGCATTTTGGATTTAAATGAAAGTTTTTTTTAAAGTATTGCCTTTTGAACTCTGATACATTTTTTTGTTAAAACTTTGTGTACAAGTGTTCCACTCAGTAATGAGGTATCTACATTGCATTACAGCTCCTGTGGAAAAGGATGTTAGCTGAAGGTGTGACTTCATTTTGGTAAACTACATCACAATTTTTTTTTTATCCTCTGTTTTGCTTATCAGTCACAGCCTTTTTTAGCATATGACAAAGATCTCTGCTAGGAAAATTAATACCAAATAAGTCACAGGACTGTAAAATGAATGTCAGATCTTCGGAGTGAGTCAGTGGAAAAAATTATCCACAAATTGTATTTTTTTAGGTAAACTATTAAGAGTGTATTGAATACTTTGTGGACAGAATGACATTTCAGGAACTTAAAATTCTGTATGCTGGAACTCAGAGCAGCAGTGAAGGCTGGCATAAAGGAACCTTTTGGGACTTGACTCGTGGAGCTGTGTAGCCACCAAGTCAGCCAATAGCAGTAAGTGCAAGTGTTGGAAGGCTCCTCTATTTTGCAGCAGCTTCCAGTGGCTTCTAAAGCCAGAGGTAGCAGCTGGCAGTGGTGTAACACACAGCAAACACAGGTCATCTGGCAAGCTGGAACTTTTAATTTTTCTTGTCTCTTGTGTATTCTCTTCTTCTCCCATCCATTTGTGTGGGATCCCGTAAGGGGAAGAATGCAGGTTTAATTTCAGTGGGAGTTTAATCTTGTTTTTTGGAATGGGTGCCCATCTCATACAGCAATAAACCAGCCTTATTTGTTGTTACATAAATCTAAATAGCAAAGTGGTAAGCAGCTTTCAAATGTAATGATTTGAGGTCCTTACAGAAAGCACAATAGAATAATGTGAAAGGTGAGTTTTTTTGGGTTTTGTGGAATACTTCTATGGGTCTGTGTTAATGAAGCAGCTGCATTGTGGAAAAATAACATTTTGGGCATGTAGTACCATAATTATAAAATAATTACTTAAAGAACTGTATTCTAATATTTGGATCTTGGACATTAGTAGAGGAAAAATAATTGATCACAGAAAAAACAGTGAATGCAAATATCAGAAATAGGTGATATCCCTGTTTCTTTTCTGACATGGCATGGAAAGATGAAGATATTCTGTACCTGTAGGAATTTGGCACTTAATGCCAGAGCTCAGGATTGGATTTATTTGTGTTTTTTATAAACTAAAAACAACAAACAAATCCACAACTCAGTAATACTCTTAAGCATTTAGGTTTAATTAGATTTTTATTAATTCAAATTTTACCACAGATTTCTGCAGAAAGAAACATCAACCAATATCTCATTGGAATGTGGCTCTCCAAAGAATAAATGCTCAGGAAGCCCAAGTTGTCTTTTGTTGATTATTTGCAACAACCTTAGGAGTTGCCTGTTTACTGTCTGGCCTCAGAATAAACACAGTGTGTTCAATGTCTGTATGAAATCAGGACAATTGATATGAATGTTAGCAGAATTGACTAGTTAAGGGTTAGCCACATTATCTGTTTTTAGATTATCTGGATTTTTCCTGTGTGGTTCCTTTAAGGTTGTAATTCAGAAACCAGTGGGGTCATTGACTGAGTTGTTTGTTCAAAGAACTGTTCTTCAAGTGAGCTTCAGCTCAGAGCTGCTGATTACTGCCTCACATACAAATCTGCAAAGTGTCTTCCAAATCCTTCAATATGAAAGAAACAAAGTTATTTAACTTTTTTGTAGCATCAGGTGGAGCAGGTATGGGGCCAATCTCTGAGTAAATGTGCTTTGATTTCTGTGTCACTGAATGGAAAGACATCCTCCCTCCCTTCCCAATAAGCAGATATTCTGGTAACTCCACATATAGGTGTGGTGAAGTGCTCTTTTGCTCTTTTTTTTTTTTTTTAAATTTGGCCAATTAAAAAAAAAATAGAATAAATATATTGCTCTTTATGAATTATGACATTAACGACTGCAATTAAGGCCGTGGAATTCCTTATTTCAGAATAATGCTACATATGGAATAACTCAATGTGCATCCTATAGCATAAAGAAAATCCCAATCTCTGATCTATTATTTGGAGGCACACTTTAATTCTCGGACGTGTGAGAACTGACACTTGCCACTGGAGGGAGCGATGTGTCAGGTTCCACTTCTACTCAAATCTGAGTCCATTGTCGGTACACTGTCAACCCACACTGGGGGCTCACCCCACGTGGAAAATTCAGACTTGGCGTGAGGATATTTTGGCTACGAAGGAAATGTGAAGCGTTTTGGACTCTTACCCTTTGGGATGTATTTGTTAATGAAACCCTCTGTGGAACCCAAGAAGCCAGACCGGTTGCGAGGTGCCTGCAGGCTGTGTTGTAGTGCCGTGTAGCTAACAGGGCTCACTGAGGCAGGTATGGTGCAGAGCTGTGTGCTGCTGTCACACGCTCTTTGGAATGCTCCTGATACCATCACTGGTGCAGCGTGCCTAACACTTGTTTCTTCTGAACAGGGATTTTGGTCTTCTGATGTAATCCAGTCTTGCATCACTGAATTATTTACTGTTCATGAGTGAAGTGAAAAGTTGGTTCATGCTTCTGAAGGATGGCTGTGAGAGGTGATAAAATGTGGGGCAAAATAGCTGCTGGTAACCTGTGGGCAGGAATCCAAGGTGCTACGCTTGGTTTTGGTGGGTTTGATACAGACACCATGGATCAGCATGGGAAAATGTTTCTTGTGTGATTTAAAATAGATCAAGAAGTGGAGGACTTCAATATCAACATTAATACTTTAATATTAATAATGACTATTAATAATTGTATTACCAATTATAATTAGCAATACTCGAGTATTAATAATTTAAGCGGAATTAACTTCAGTATTATTCTATTGCTGGTACCTTCATCAGTCTAACAGAAGCAGGTATAAATTTAATTGCTGGAATGATTTGTTGTGGTAAATCTGTTAGTATGCAGTAATTCTTTTGCCTGCGTGTGTTTGTGTGCACTGCTGCATTCAGTGATTTATAAAATCCAACAAAATTTGTGCATCTGCGAAGTGATTAAAAAAAACAAGTCAGTGCGTAACAAGGAAGTGTTAATTACTAGCCATTACTAATGGGCTCAGTATTGGAGGAGGAAGGAGGGAAGGTACAATGTGTTCTGGAGGACCTGCGGTGCCTTGAGGCTACAGCAGCCTTGGCGCTTTCAGCAAGCATCTCTCCCGCGCACCGCCTTATTTGTGGTCTTAGGCAGTACTTCTATTCTGGGAGCACTCCGGTGGTCTGCCTTGTGCTGAAAACCGGGAGCGGCGCGCACGCAGCGAGCGGGGCCCCGCAGGGCGCCGGTGCCGCCGGCCGCGGCTGCAGCTCGCCTCCTGCCGGTGACGCGCGCCGTCGGGAAGGCGGGGAGCGGCTGCGGGACGCTCGGCCTTCCCGGCCGCGCACGGCCGTGGCGCGGAGCTGCTTCCCGGTAGCGGGGCTCACGCCGTGCTGCGTGGCGGGACACGGCTTGAGGCGGCGTCTGAAAGTTAATTCTGCCCTTTTGCGCAATGTGTCACGTTCTGGTCTTCTCCGTGGCGATATTAAAGCGATGTGAACTGTTTAGGATCCACCGTGTGCCTTTTGCTTACTGGAATGGAAGTAATTTCCTGGCTTGCTGCACGCGAACATTGCTACCGCCGTGCCCTCGCGTGTGCAGGACATGGGTAAATAGCGAGTTAGGAACGTATGTAGCGTGCCCCGCGCCTCCATTAGGTGCAGTAATAGCACGTCTGTCTCGCGTGTGCGAGCCTTGCTGTGCGCTCGGGGCGTAAAGCGCCGCCGGGGCGCCAGCCGCACGGCCCGGCCTCCGGAACGAAGCCGGGCGGCGAGGCGGCAGCGGCTCCACGCGGCCGTCCCTTCCCGAGCTTCGGGCCCGGCTCCTCCAGGCGAGCGGGAACCCGGCCGCTCTCTTTTCTCTCGCCGCGCACCGCCGCACGCCCGAAGCTCCCCGTCTCCCTTCCGCTCAGCCCGTCCCGGGCCGCCATTTTGAGAGCGGGGCTGCGAGCTGGGGCCGCACGGGGCCCGAGGGGGGCGGCGGCGGCGAGCCGGGCGGTCCGCTGGCCGGTGCCGGCGTTGCTACCGAGGTAATTTTTGAGAGGGGGCGGCTTTTGTGTCTTTATTGGGGCTGGGTTTCCGGGTTGGAAATTTCCTCGGCTCTGTACTTCTCTCTAATGGCTGTTTCCTTTCTGCTGTACAGAAGCATGTTTTTGCCAAGGTCTGTTAAAGTCAAGAGGAGTGCTGGTGAGGACAAAAGCTGTACGGCCAAGAAAAATAAATTGTCTTCTGGAGGGTCTTCGTTAGAGGACAACGCTGAGTTCCAAGATGATAAACCAGCTAGAGCAGAAACTTCCACTTCAAAACGTGACTCAGATGAAGTTGTGCAGTGCACGGAGCCCATCGCTATTTCTTCTGATCTTGGTGTTCCTGACCCATCTTTAGGAAAAGACAACCAAAGTACCACTGGAGATAGCTCTTCAGAAGAACCCATAAAGTCCTTCAGCAAATCCCAGCGTTGGGCGGAACCTGGAGAACCTGTGTGTGTTGTCTGTGGTCGCTATGGAGAGTATATATGTGATAAAACAGATGAAGATGTTTGCAGCTTGGAATGTAAAGCCAAACACCTTCTACAAATTCAAGAAAAGGAAGAAAAACTAAAGTCTGATCACCTCGCACAAGGAGAATCTCAAGAAGAAACTCACCTCCTTAATACACCTTATTTCTATAAAGATCACTCCTTTATTTTAGGTTTGCGAGATGAGCAGGTTGAGAACCTTAAACTGCAGTTAGGTATTGCAATCCAGGGCCAGCAAGTTCCAAGACCTATTATCGAGTTTGAACATTGTGGTTTTCCTGAAACTTTAAACAGTAATTTAAAGAATTCTGGCTATGAAGTCCCAACTCCTATCCAAATGCAAATGATCCCTGTTGGACTGTTAGGGAGGGATATTTTGGCTAGTGCAGACACAGGCTCAGGAAAAACAGCAGCCTTCCTACTCCCTGTTATTATGAAGGTTTTGAATGAGGTAATAAAGTGGTGTTTGTTTTGAGAAAGTGATATGCAACTTTGTCTCCAAGATTTTCAGTATAATTGAGAATGCAATTGCAGTCTTCTTTATTTTAAGTCATTTATTTATTTGATTGAACATTGGTTCTTTGTGGGGGACGGCTGTTGATTATTTTGCACTTTGAATGCTAAATCATCTCCATTAGTATTATGTAACATACGGTTTCTATTTGTTAAGAAAGGTAGCTAAATTCTGAGGTAAACGTCCTACATGACAGAAAATGATTTCACATGTTTTGCAAGTAGTAGTTGCTAGATCTTGATGTATCAGGTGAGTGAAAGATTTTGACATTGGTATGATTTCCTGGGGTAATCTCAGGTGGAACGTGGTTGACTGACCATCAAACAACTACAGGAGTTTCAGGTTGTACGATTCTTCAAATCCTGTTGCTATACAAGCAGCTTCTTGCAGTGTCAGTGGGGAGAAAGCAGTTAAGAAAATCTTTACTTCAGAAGGATGTGAATGTATGATGAGAAATAATGGCAAATAGTATTCTATACCTCGTGTATCAGCTCCATATTGCTTTAGTGGCTATAATCAAGAAGATTTTGAAATGTGAAAATTTCAGATCTGATTCCATGTGATATTTTACACTGCTTATGTGTCTTTCCTCTAGAAAGATAGATACATGTATATATATTTCAACTGAATAGTCTAAAGATTATTTAAGTAACTCTTAATCTTCCAAGTACTGTATCACAGGGGGTTATACAGGAGCATTATAGAGGAGCAGTGCTATTATACTCTGGTGTCTCTTCTGCCTGGCTATCCTCAAAGTCTGCAAGGCAGTTGTATGTGTATAGTAACATGCAAAAAATCACAGTCTCAATGAATATTATTTCACTACATAAACTCTTTTGTTTTCTATCTTAAGCATACTTTACTAGTTAACATACGTAAAAAGTATTTTCTTTAAAATAATTTTCATTTTAATGTAACAGAGAAATGATACATTAAGAACATAAGGGAAATGTGGTTATAAGATAATGTTTGACATTTCCTGGCTTAGATACTTCTAATTGTAGTGGTAAGTTTTCAGTTGTTTTCATTTTGGCAAGCATTCAACTTAACCAAGTCCTTCTGGACTGTGTAATTCCCCTGAAGATACAGTAGGAAAGGAACCATTTCATGGTGTTGGTCATTTGTAAATATTCCAGTTAAGGAACAGAAAGAAACAGATACTACCCAAAAAAGTTATGTGAAATTGCAGTATAGCTATTAGTACGTGTGAGAACCTTGTTTATTTGATGAGGGATGTACTCAGTGATCTGTGATTAATATTACTGAAATAGTGCATCTTGGAGCTAGACCGTAATTCTGCCTTTGCTTTTTTTTCTCATTGTCCTGTTTTACTTTATATTTTTTTTACTTTGTTACTATGTATTAATTGTGTTTGAGAAAATGTTGTCTGAGAGGAATTGCTGTACTGTAATTTTGTGTTTTCTAGATTTGCAGGAGGAGATGATAATTTGACGATCCTTAAATAAGGAACAAAAAGATGTTTGAAGACAGTAGCAATTTTGTATTTAGTCTCTGGTTGGCTGATTACAAGTGGATGAGAGGGGATTTTGTTTTGAAGTTTTCAGAGATGTTTTTGCTCTATGGTTGTCCTATCAGTATTTGTCTTCTCTGTCTAATACTTATTGATTTGCTTCGTCACAGTGGTGTCTAAGATGATAAGGAGAAATATTAAGTTCCTGTGATATCAAGACTTCCAAAATCTTTGCAATCTCTCTAGATTTAGCTAGCATCCTGTGTTGAGTTCACATGGAATTTATTCTAAATTCTTTTGTAACTTCAGTTGCAATAACTAAAATACAAAAATAACAAAACAAAAAACACCACTTGGATTCCTCTCTGGGCCTTTTTTTCTTTCTTTCTTTTTTCTGTTGTTGTCAGGGATCTTTTTTCTACCTTCCTTCTTCAGATAGAAAGGGCATTAGCTGTCTAACTATATCCATAGTAGCTCCACTACATATTTTGTATTTCAGTATTGGGAAAGGTAGTCTTGAAAGCTTTTTACCTAAACAATGAAGTAGTTCTGTGTTCAACAGATTTCTTACCTCCCCTTTCTCTGTAGACAGAAACTCCGTCAGCCCTTATTCTGGCACCAACAAGAGAGTTAGCAATTCAGATAGAAAGACAAGCTAAAGAACTCATGGCTGGTTTACCAAACATGAGAACAGTTCTCCTGGTAGGAGGTTTACCACTGCCACCACAGCTTCATCGTCTCAAGCAAAGTGTCAAGGTAAGGACTGCAGTGTGCAAAGGTGCTCTGGAGAGTTGTTTTCACAACATTTGCAGAAAAGAAAAATGTGATTATTGACGTATCTGTACATGCACAGGTGCGGAATTTTTCCTGAGTATGTGTAAGCTACTGAAATAATTGTTAGCTTTTGAAAATTTTACAGTAATAATTCTTTACATTTTACTTCTGATTGAATGTAGTAAAGATAGTTGTTGCTTTGGAAAGGATCACACGTAATATTGCTATTTTCAATAGTGAAACGTGCCATTTTTGTAGACAGAGTTGTAAGTAAGGTCAAAAATAGTTCTTTTTTTTTAATACAGTTTAGATTAGTATTTAGATGTTTCCAATAGAGTACTAAGAAGCTCATTTCCTTTTGAAGCTTCGTAATTAAGTTACCTAGGAAAACAGAGGTTTATTTGAACATAAGTAGTTTCAGTAATTATCACCATACTCATCTCAGTGCTGTAACTTCATAGTTTTTTTCCAGAATGTTCTCTCTTTTAACAGATTTTTTATCTTTTTATCTTTCGTCAGGTTATAATAGCAACACCTGGAAGACTTCTAGAGATTTTAAGGCAAAGTTCTGTACAATTGCATGGCATAAAAATTGTAGTAGTGGATGAAGTAAGTTTGTTAATTCTCAAGGCTATATTGTATGTACAGAGATCCTTGTAGAGGGTCATTTGGGTATATTATCAAATGATTATACACATAGAATGTTCACTATAAAGATGAAATGTATTTGTTAGGAGAAAATTTCACCTCTAACGATTTGAGATGTTTGAACAATGCATACTATATTGACTATAAAAGACTTACATATCTGACAGCTACTCGACCACTGTGAACCAGTTATTTTTAATTTTCCTATATAACTTCTAACTGAAGTTTCTAGTGCATTGGGATTATTACACACCAATCATATGCATCATGGCTCATCTTTCTTTTCAAGTTCAGGCTTATGCTGTTTATTGAGAAATCTGATACAGATACAATATTTTTTACTTAGGTGGATACTCTGTTAAAAATGGGTTTCCAGCAGCAAGTGTTGGATATTTTGGAAGACATCTCTCATGATCATCAAACTATACTGGTGTCAGCCACAATTCCGCTGGGTATCGAACACTTAGCAAATCAGCTTCTGCACAATTTTGTAAGAATAACAATTGGAGAAAAGAACCTACCATGTTCCAATGTGCGCCAGATTATTTTGTGGGTAGAAGAACCATCTAAAAAGAAGAAACTGTTTGAAATACTAAATGTAAGTGCAATGTTGTTCTCATAAGACATTTTTAAAAGTTTGTGTGCTTTCACAAAGCTCTGTCAGGTTCTCATCTTTGATTCTGATCTGTACATTGTGAAGAAGCGGGGTGATGTTGAGCATGCAACCGCACTGTTTCAGCTGTGCAGCAGCAGACTACATTCCTGTTCTTAGAACTAAGTTAAAAATCATCATTTTGGTATTTTTGGTGATTTGCAGAATGGCACCCTGAAGATTTGTATTGATTATCTGTGCGTGGTGGAAGAACAGGATTTCTTAAAACTGTCATAACTGCTTTATGGCCAGGAGTTGTTTGTCATTTTAAAGGTCATTAGAAAACAAAGTGAGAAAGCTATTTTAGTTCTTTCTTGAATTCTCTTCATATGAATATTACAGGCCTTAATTACTTATGTGTACTTTAGGAATACAGAAGGGATGGAAGGGGGGAGTCTTGACTTAGGTTATGCAAGAAATAAATAAGAACATAAGAACTTGAAGAAATTCAGAAGTGTAATGTAAATTTTTTTTCAAGAAAGCTTCCTACTTGTAAAATGTGCATGTTATTGAGATAAACTTGAGTTCTGAACTTACAAATTATGTTTATGATGTATAAAATTGTGCTGATGGCTGCTGTCTTGTGGCTTCTTATCTGGAATTTAAGAATATTTACCCATCTGGAAGAGATATTACCACTAGAGACATTCAGCATCAAAGATCAAATCAGAGGTATTGATGATGAGCAGCAAGCTGTGGTACCTTCTTATATAAACTGTTCCATTTTACAGGATAAGAAACTTTTCAAGCCTCCAGTGTTGGTATTTGTGGACTGCAAGCTAGGAGCAGATCTCCTGAGTGATGCTGTTCATAAGATTACAGGATTACAATGTACATCTATGCATTCTGAAAAATCTCAGGTGGAAAGGACAGCCATATTACAGGTTTGTGCCTCCTAACGTTTTTAGGTTCTTGATAGATAGAAAATGGCTTTTTGTTTAATGGCTTAATTAGATCACAGTTCACTGTTTTTCTGTGATTAAATATGGAGTATTTCTGGGGGAAAAGAGGAGAGAGGTGTGGGACCAGGTAAAATTACAGATGAGGTTATTTTAAATGCAGATAAATACTGGACACTATTTCCTAGGTTATTTGCTTTGAAACAAGAATTTAAATATGCATTTCACCTTAATTGATGCTTTTGTAATTAAAATGTTGGTTCTGGTCTCTCTTTTGCTCTTTGGAAGTAATACTCCTATTTAAATCAAGAATACGAGGGATCTTTCCATCTTCTGTAATAGAATAAACACATTGGCCATTGTTACATCCAATGTAAGATTTCATGTTTGAAAAGCAGATAAATAAAAAAAATAATTATTTTCTTCCCCTGTCAGGGATTACTTAAAGAGAAGTATGAAGTGATAGTAAGTACTGGAGTCCTTGGACGAGGACTTGACCTTGTCAATGTCAAACTGGTCGTAAATTTTGATATGCCTTCAAGTATGGATGAATATGTACATCAGGTAAAAAATAAAATACTCTGTCATTTGTTTAAATATTATTTTGAAAGTATACTGAAATATGACATCCACTTACGGAAATACTGTCTCTTACATGAAGAGATTGAGGGAGATGGACTTGTTTAGGCTGGAGAAGAGAAGGTTTAGGGTAGAATTAATTGCTGTGATAATGGATGATTACAAAGCAGATGGAGCCAAACTGTTCTTGGAGATTTGTTGTGAAAGGCTAAGAAACAATGGATCACAACTTGCTGCAAGGGAAATTCTGACCATAAAAAAGGGGAAGGTCATTTTCATGGACAGTGTGTTAAGGCAGTGGAACAAGCTGCTCAGAGTGGTTGTGGAACCTTTGTCCTTGGGAACATTCACAAGTCAGCAGGACAAGGCGCTGAGCAACTTGATCAAAATTTGGTTAGCCTTGTTTGGGATGGGAGTTTAGACTGGGTGGCTTCCAGAAGTCCTTCTAACCTCAATTATTTCATGTTACTAACTGCAGTACACCGCTTTATTTTTTGATGATTTTTTTCAGCAAATAGTCAATAAATAACAGAACTGTGCTGGTGCTAAAATACTGTTTCTTTCTGTAATTAGAGAATCTTTTTAGACTCTTTTCTAATTTTTGAGCACTTTGGATGACACAGAAATCATTTTGTCACAAGAACATTGCGAGTACAGAGCTTTTATTATGATAACACTTGCACGTATTGTACAGAAAACAAAATACATGTATGTGGTGTTGCTGTAGCATTTGAAAAGCTAGGATTCTGTGGTTCTATGAAGTCTCTCTGTTAGTGTTGGGTTGCTGGTATGTCCTGTAAGCAAGTGGTAATTTTTCATGCATTTAAATTAAAGCTTCTGATCAGTGTATCCCAAATCTAGGAAGCGTATTGAATTTTTGTGTGTAGGGGATAAGATGAAGATATTTCATTTACATAAGTTCCTGAGTACCTACCTGTTTTATATCAGAAAATAAGGAGATATGAGGAAATCGTACTTGATATTAAACTGAGCTTTAATAACTTAAACTGAGATGTTGCGTTTTCAGGTTGGAAGAGCAGGGAGGCTGGGTCACAGTGGAACTGCGATTACTTTTATCAATAACAACAGCAAGAAACTCTTCTGGGATGTTGTGAAGAGGGTAAAACCAACAGGCACTATTCTTCCCCCGCAGCTGCTTAATTCCCCATATCTTCATGACCAAAAGAGAAGGGAGCAGCAGAGACTTAAACAATTAGAAAATAGCCTTGTAACAGGGGACAACATTATGGACATCATTAAAAAACATGACAAAAATAATTCTCTGAGGTAATGAAGATAAAGCAAACTTTTTAATTATTATGAAAGTGTGATAAAAATAAATGTGCAATTTTCATGTCTGTCTGTATTTCCTTTTTTTTTTTAAACAAAACCTATGTTTTTCTAAGTCTCATTTCTATCTCATCTTCTGCAATACCTGGCAATTAGTATAACTTCATACTAGCAAAATGAGATAAACCAAGTAAGTTAAGGAAGAAATCTGTGTTTTTTTTTTTTTTTTTTTTTCCTGAAACGTTATGGTTGTTAATACTTAAGTGATGGTATCTATTTGCTACTCATTTGTGTGTAACTCTTGCCTTTCTCTGGCACTAGTTTTCATCCAGGAAACCAGACCAGAGCTGTGGAAATAGCGTTACTTAGAGCAGTGGTAGCAAATGTTGGGATAGCTGGTGTTACTGCCTGTTACTACTTACCATCCACGGTTGGAGGTTGGTCATAATTGAAACTTCCTTCTTTTTGTTTTAGACTGAGACTTGAGAAATGACGGTCGGTACCTTTTCCCCTTGCTTTGGCTTTTGTCTCCCTCTGCTGGGCGTTTTAAGAACTTCCCAGTTGCGTACAGCACTTCTAAACGCAGTACTTAGGAATTTACGTAGCAAATGCGTCGTAAAACGTTTTCATCCTTCAGGACGAGATCCTGCTGTACTTCTGTGGAGACGTCACGGGACGATTAGGCGCTCCCCTGCGCGCAGCGCGTCCCGTTGCCGTGAGGCGCAGCCTGGCTTCGTGCTGCGGAGGACCGGCCCGCGCCGGCCGCGCGAGTGGCGCCCGCACTGCGCGGCGTTCGCGGCGCTTTTCCGCGGCCCGGCTCCGCCCCTCCGTGACGCCGCTCTCGGAGCGAGCCAATCCCCCGGGCCCGGCGCATTCAAACGGGGCGGGAGGAGGGCGCGAGCCGCTGTGGGGCGAGCGGAGGCGAAGCGGAGGGTGAGCGGGGCGGCCGAGGCGGGGGCCGGGGCTTCCCTGTCGGAGCGGGGCTGGGTCTCCCTGGGGCCGCCGCACGGGACGGGCCGTTTCTGGGGGAGCGGCGGCCGGTCGGTCCCGGCCCGACCCGGGGACTGAGGGAGCGCGCTCCGAAAGCTGTGACTGCGAAGCGAAGCGTTAAGGGAAACTTCCGTTGGAGCAGCGCTGAGCTTGCCGCTTCCTCATCGCTGGAGATCCCTTTTTTCCCGACCGTTAGCTTTTTCTGCCTGCTGACGATATGATTCTGAAAGAATCGAAAGGCGGATGACTTCTCGTTGGCGTTTAACGGCGGTTTGGTAGCAGCTGACAGCGGTGCAGGGGGTGGCGATGGCGGAGCTGTAACAGCGTCCTCATGGGGAGGCTGGGCGGGCACGGCTTCCCGCTCTGTGGGAACAGCGTGCCTTCGTTGTTTGTTCCTTTGTTTCTTTTTCTTTTTTTTTTTTTTTAAAAGATGAGTAATGTGAGAGAGACGATATCCATCCCACTTTTCCTTCATCCCTTGGGTTAGTTGTCTTGCTTTTGCCGTGTGAGGATGCAGTAGAGTGGTCTAAAATAAGATCTTGTATCAAATATCTTCATTAACTTGTTTTGTTACTACGTTTCATGTTGTGCATCAGAATCCTGGTAGAACCCACTTTGTCGGCAGCAATGGTGTTCTGTTGGTGTCTGTCAAACACCAACTGCAAGCAGTTCTGAGTGATGGAGGCACAACCTCACGTTCCCTTTGCTTAGGAATCCTTGGGAATCAGCTGAAATGATGTCTGTGCTCATCTTTGTTGCTAAGAAATCCTTTTGGTCTTTGCGCTGATTGCTGTTTCTTTCTGATGTTTCTGAAGCAAATGGTAGAACTCCATAAATGGAGTCAAATAGCTGGTGAAAATAGTCACTCATATAGAATTATATGTAAGTACTGGATGTAAAATGGAGGGTGCTGATTGCTACTGATATCTGGGAACATACATTTACTGCAGTATATGCAAGGAGCTGCCAGTGCCCTGAAGCGTAACTCACATCTGTCATAAACATCATAAAATTCTTTCTTTATCTTTCCAGGTTCTGTGAGAAGGAGCAACCAAATATAATATTTTAGGAAGCAGTTGTATGTGCTATCATCCTGATGTTAACTTGTTTGAAGACAAAATGCCAGTTTACACAGTTTCTGTAAGCAAGACCTATACGGCACGACGTACTACCACTTTGCAGAAGATAGCTTCACAAAATGCATTAACCAGCAGCAAAATGTTGGGGCAGCAACTGGCATCACATGTGTCAGGAAAAGACCAGGACAGTCTTCTGTCACGTTCCCAGAATAAGTCTGAGGAAGTAAATAGGACCTATGTGATTTCAGCCTGTAAAAATGTGGATGACACGTCACTTACACTGAAACCTCAGGACAGATTAACACTCCAGAGGAGAACTAGAACAAGCAAAAATTTGGCATCAAGTAGTGAGCAATCTGATAAAAATACACTCCAGGGCACAGAGAATAAGCAAACAGAGAAAAGGCTTACCCTGCAGAGGCGTGTGAAGAGTGGCTCTGTAGAAAAGAGTACAGTTAATGGGAATGCTGTGCCTGGAGCAGAAAACTGTGTCTTTGCTGAAGGAAAACACAAGACTGCACTTCAACGCGATATTAGTAATAATGATACCCATTATATTAAACCAAGCTGTAAGTTAGCTGAGGGTCAACAAGTTACGAAGTTGAGTTATAAGCCCAATAGCAAGGATTTGTTTGGCAATGTTGAAAACGATGGCTGCGTGCACTCAAAATGTAGGATGACTGCTGCTGATGCAAAACTTCAAAAAGATGTTCCTATATCAGAACAAATAGCTACCTCAAAGTATGTTAATCAGATATCAGGAGAGCAGCTGAACGAACGAGGTGATATAAGAAGAATAGCTGGAAAGCCAAGGTTACAACAGTTAAAACATAACAGCTTAGAAAGACTAAGGACGCCAACAAAAGCTTGGACAGAAGAATTTAAGCTTACACCAAAGAACAGCACTTTTCAGGTTAAGACATCTCTATCTGCTTCAAGTAAACAAACAGCTAATCTTCCAACCGTGTCAGAAAAGAAAACAAGGTGTCCTCCTGTGGGTAGAAGTGCAAAAGCAGATGAGAATGCTGAAACTCTAGCTGAAAGCAACAGCACTGAGAAAGATATTTTTAAAGTAGAAAACAGCAAAGTCATTGTAGCTGTGCGTGTGCGGCCTTTCAGTAGCAGGTTTGTATCATAGTCTTGTCTCTGATGCTGCCTAATACCTTCTATATTTTTTTCTGGTTTCAGCTGGGATGGAGTTCATTGTCTTCACAGTGCCTGATATGAGGCTATGTTTTGGCTTTATGAGTAAACTAGTGCTGATAACACAAATGTTTGCTAAAACACAGAGCCAAGGGCATTTCAGTTTCTCAGCTTCTGGTACTGTCCTGCCAGTGAGGGGCTGAGGGTCACCAGGAGATGGGAGAACCAGGACTTAAGCTGGCCAAAGGGATATTCTATACCACATGGTGTCATGTGAAAAAACTAAGGGGGGTTGGCTGGATGGGCAGCAGCTATTGGGGACTAGCTGGGCACTGGTTGGTGAGTAGTGAGCAATTGTGTTGTGCATCACTTGGTTTATAAATACATATTATATTATTATCATAACCCATGAGTTCTACTTCATTGTTCTTTTGTTTTGTCTTTTTATTGTCCCCCATCCCACCTGGCAGGGAAGAGCATATGAAAATCTGCTCAGCATCAGCTGAGCTGCCTGTTGGGTTAAACAACAGTAGCAGTGTATATTGGTTTGTCTTGGCTTTTTTGGTTTTTTTTTTTTTTTTTCATGGGCTCAATAATGTTTAATACATAGCAAAATTAGCAAATATTTCTACATCAAGGTAAAGGTTTTAAGAGGCTGAATTTGTTTTATTGCAGCTTGGGGCTGTTCTTTAAATAGTATTGATTATTTGAAGTATTTTGAGCTTGAATGCTTTTAATTTTTTTAACTGATGATTGCCCATTTTTTTTATTTTCATGAAGGAATTAGCTGAAGGAACTAACGTAAGGAATGTAGCTTACACTTTTTCAACTTTTTGTTTATTTTTGTTCTTCCATTCAGAGAGCAAAATGAGAGCTTGCTCCCTGTAGTATCTATGAGCGGATCAGAGACATCTGTACGAAATCCAAGCACCAACCAACTCTACAACTTCAGTTATGACTTCTCTTTTTGGTCTTTTGACAAGTGTCATCCTAACTTTGCAAGCCAAGAAATGATTTATAAAACTTTGGCATTGCCGCTACTGGAAAGAGCTTTTGAGGGATACAACACTTGTCTTTTTGCTTATGGGCAGACTGGTTCTGGAAAATCATACACGTAAGTTCCTAAATACAATTCTTACAATCTTGTAGCAACTTACTATTCAACATGAAGTATGAAAAGAATTGTGCTATAGATTTATTAGCTATTAAATTGTATTAAATATTGTTATACGTTTTGAAAGAATAAAACATGGAGACATTAATATTTACACTTACTGGGACAAAGTTACCTGTACTATTTGCTTTTATGTATCTGACATTGACCACAACCAACCAAACAAAAAAAACAGCTTTACACACAATGATTCCAGACAAATGGTATTTTGGGGTTTGATATCCAAGCCTATGTACCTTGTGTGTATTTCTCACTAGAATGCCTAAAAAGCTTTTTCTTTTCAACCACACATCTGTTAAAACCATTTCTATGATCTTTAGAATTCTGGTGAAGTGTTTTAAAATTTTAAATATGTAGTTGAGGATCAGAAATGTTTTTATCCAATTTAGCATCATGTGATGTTTTTATTCTCTTAATCATAGATACGTAACTTTCACATAGGCATGATTATCTTTTTAAGTGGGAACTTAAAATGTGCTTGTAGTGTTTATTTGCTTTGGCCAGAAAGAAAACACACTCAGTACTATTGCAGTTGTTATCCTATTTATGGCATTCTTTTTCTTTTCCTGTGCTTTCAGATTTAAAAAATTACTTACCTTCAACCCTTTCTGTATTTTTAGCAAGGCTGGATATATATATCAGTAATAACTGTGTCCTCAGGTCATATCTATGCAACAGTCTTCTCACAACTATGTTGTGTAGCTGTGTGAGCTTAGTCTCTGAACTGTAGCTGAGTCAGTACGGTATGCTGGTTTTCTGCTGTGGCAGAGTTGAACAGGAAACAAGTAGGATAGAAAGAAGGGCTTGAGTTGATGATGGCATGCAGAGAATGGTATACATATGTGTAGATATCAAACATAAATAGAATTCTTGTTTATAGTACTTCTTATAGTACTTGTTTATAGTCCTTTTTCATTTGTTCTAAAACTTCTTTGAATTTTCAACCCATTTCTCAAGGGGGTGAATCAAAAAATCATGACAGACCTCAGATGTAATCTTGTCCACCCCCCTGCTCAAACAATTGTCAACTTAAATCAAGTTTATTTCATAACTAGTTATTTCTAGTACTTAAAGAAGCATGTGACATTTTAACTGCAAGTGTACAAATAATATTAAAATTAGCTATAAGGAATTAAAAAATGAAACTAACATTTTTTTTATAACTATAGGATGATGGGCTTTGATGAAGACCGAGGGATAATTCCAAGACTTTGTGAAGATCTTTTCACCCGGATAGCACAGATGGACCAGCAACAGGTAGGGTGATTATGCAGCTCAGCTTATGCAGAACTGTGAGTAAAGTGGTTCAGTTCAGTATCTTTAACTGTCTCATTCTTTTGCTTTATACCCTCGTTTTTATCTGCTTGTTGATGCCTGTATTTTATTGCTGATACAAATCTTTCTGCTAGTAGCTCTGATTAGCAGATTTCTCTGGATAGTCCAAATCAACATTTGTTTTGCTTCTTTAGTGATAATGTTATTTTAAAAAATGTAACGTAGAGTAAAATTCAAAGCATATGAATTCATTTTTTAGTGCTATCACACAGCAATGTGTGTTTTCCAATTCTGATTTTCTAATTCAGTATTCCTGGTGAAATTACTTAAATGAAAGTTCAGTTATCCTCACCTGAATTGTTAAGATTCTAAAAAATTTCATTGTAAATAATGCTTCCTTCTCTGTTTTGAGAATAGACCCTTATTTGTACATAACTCTATATGAGAGAGAAAGCCTTGTAACAGAAGGTGAGAATTTTTTATGATCACAATTTCTTTTGATCGGAATTCCTATCCAAATCAAATCTTGTTAAGTGCATTAGTAAGCAGTCGTGACTGTTTCCATAGTGCCTTAAAGAAGGATTACGTTCTGTTCCTCTCAAATTTAATCGGTATAGCAATGGTAAGCTTAGCGAATCATAGTGAACAGCAGAATCTGATCCTCTATGTTAGTTTTCAAAGGAGAAAGAATGTTTAGAAAAGTGTCTTGGACAAGATGAATGTATCTTTTTGTTGTTGTTGTTATTAGGTCTTGTATCACCTTGAAATGAGCTATTTTGAAGTTTACAATGAGAAAATTCATGATCTCCTTGTCTTTAAAGCTGACAGCAGACAGAAGAAACAGCCAGTAAGTTGCCCTCAGAAACAAGTATATATGCAATGTCAAAACAGTGGCTTTTTTGTAAATGGTTTGTATAACGGATGAGCGATTATATTTGTTATCTAAGTACTTCAGATTGCTAATAAGATTCAAGGTAAACAAAACCTTGCTTGTATGACTTTGAACAGTGGCAAGGCATATAAATGGTTTGTGTGTGTATATATATGAATATATACAGCACTGAGAACAGCTTTTAAACCATTCAAAACAGCTTTTGATCCAGTGCTCTCCTTAGTTCTTGATCCTACTGACATACCCATTCACTTTTGATAATATTTGTTTATTGTTTTTCTTTTGAGATACTTGTTCACTACTGATCTGCAGTATCTATTTGTGGTCAGTAGTATATTAATGGAAAAAAAAAATATTTGCAAAGGGAGAATTCCTATCCATTTTGTTTCCTTTGTGTGTTTATGTTGCTCAGCTACAGAAAAATACCATCATGTAAAAACTTAAGAAAAATGGCTAACTTCATTGAGGTATTTTGCCCTGGGTAACGTACTGCTTAGAGCTCCAGGGCTGGCAGGAAGTTCCTTTGTTTTGTTTGTTGTTGCTGTTACTTGGTTTTAATTTCGTTTTATTTCTGAAGAAACTGGAATGGGGATGGGATGGGGGGATTTAGTAATCCAAGTAACTAGTTAAGGATTGTTAGCTTAGCTTAGCTCATTTTTAATATCTGTGCTAGAACATCTAAAACTGTAAGCTAAAGGAATTGTTGTGAACTAAGAGATGAAGAGAAGGAATTCATCACGCTAGATTTATTAAAAAACTAAAGTAAGCAACATCAACAAAAAAATCCACCTGCTAAAAAACCACCCTGCTTTCTATGCTTGGCAGTACTGAAGAGTGCACTGTCCAGTTCTTGTTTGTAAACTGTGAGTTTTAGTTTGAGAGAGAAGATGAAGTATATTTGACTTGCTGTTAAAATAAGTCATTTATCCAAAACTACAGACTGATGTCAATTAGTCAGGTAGAAGTGAAGACTACCTGGTATGGTTTACAGAAGGTGTACATTCAGCTGAGTTTTGTCTGTGGTTTTGAGCTAAACTGTTCAAGTTTGTATATTGCGTATAAATGATGTATAAATCTCTTATTAAATATATTAGTTATGTTATAGTTTTATCCAAATATTCTTGGAGATGACATTGTAAGCAATAGTCTAGAGCCACTACTGTGGTTTCTTATGCAGGTAGAAACATTCAGCTTTTGGTATTATCCTGAAAATATTGTTCTAGATAATGATAATCAACAAAATTTAGCATGAGACTTTGTGTTAGGCATGTACATAAACTGCCACTTATTTCTAAGATAATTCTATTCGAAGTAATGCACACTAAATAGGTTGTTTTTTTTCTCTGATTGTTCTTTCCAGCTTCGTGTAAGAGAACACCCAGTGTTAGGACCATATGTGGAAGACCTAACAGTGTAAGTCTTAACTACTTTCAGGAAGCAGTTCCTACATCAGGAAGTGCTGCTTTACTGTGTGAGTGATAGCACTGGCACTGTTTGGCCTGAGAGGTTGCGGAGTCTCACTCGTTGGCAATCTTCTAAAGCTGTTTAGATATGCAGCTTGTTCTTTTAGGCCTTCCTTGAGCAGGAGGTTGGGCCAGATGATCTCCAGAGGTCCCCTCCAAACTTAAGCAATTCATGATTTAGTGGATGTACAGCATAGACCTGGTGTACAGTGTTATTATCTTGAGACTCTAAGCATTTGTGCTCACCAGAGAATTAGACAACATCTTAATTTCACACAATCTAGCTTGGCTTGCTGTGTTTCCATTGGCTATAATACAATTAGAATTATTTTACAGTGCTGAGAAACAATGGAAGTCTCAGGACAATTGCAACTTTTGTGATATATTGGTATTTTCTCTTTAACTTAGGAAGTATTTCAAAATGCACACAATAGATAAAATTGTTGAAAAAGAAGTCTGAATCTTATTTTTTTCCTCTTCTCTCACTGTAGGAATGTTGTCAGTTCTTACTCAGATATCCAGGTAAGAGTTGTTCAGTTATATTTCTACTTCCTTATTCCTTTGCTGCTGAAAACAAAATTCCATGGAAGGGAAGAAAAAGCTTTGCAGATTGCTCAGCGCTCTATGATGTTTCAGCAGATGTAAAAGTACAGTAAGCACTAATCCTGTGCCTTGGAGCTGAGCAGACACATAAAAGCAAGTATCACTCTCTTAATATGGTTGTGATTCCACCCTTATGGATTCATCATCTGTGTTAATAATTTGATATGCAAATATTTTAAACTGCAGTTAACTACCCAGAGTACACCAAAAAGTTGTTCTTTTTTCTCTTACAGAGTTGGCTTGAACTGGGAAATAAGCAGAGAGCAACAGCTGCTACTGTAATGAATGACAAAAGTTCTAGATCTCATTCTGTCTTCACTCTTGTTATGACACAAACCAAGGTATTGCTGGGTGTTTTATTTTGAATTATCTGTTCAACCTACGTAGTATAAAATTGTTTTGTTTGCTGTCTAGAAAATTGGGCAAGTATACTTGAATGAGGTGAGTGCATTTTAACATGGGTTTCTACATAGTCAACTTGTTTTTTTTTTTTTTAACATACTTTGAGTATGTTCTGTTATCTCTGTGCTGTATGTATGTGTAGAAATAATATAAATATGCCTAGACTGGCAGTTCTAGGAGTGGTTTTAGGTAGTTCAGGACACCTGTGTCATCCTTTCATCTCTGGGATACAGGCACTATATCTTCCTGTTTGATTTACAGGTATTTAAGAGACAAAACCCAACTCAGTGAGATAATCCTGAAAAGAAAGAAAATAAGTGGAGCTCCTCAGAAGTCTAGAGACTGACAGTTTTCTCCATTTAAAAATAACTTGGGTGTGGCTTCTCGTTCTTAATGGTCCCAATTACTTGAGCCCCATTATCCTTCTGCTTACTGTTCACAACACTAGATTTTCTTCTGTCTATTCAGGATTAGTCCTAAGATTTTTTTTCCCCCTGGTTGTTTGATGATACAGTCAAGCATGAGCACTGAGCTGTAGTTTTAAATGTCCATTTTTGTGCAGTTCTTGCTTATTCAATTGTGCACATGTAAACTCCTGATGCTATCGTTAATCGTGTGGACTTAATCTCCTTCATGGAATGTACATGAAAGTTTCCTGTCAAAAAATAAATAATAATGTTAATGGTTTTTGGTTTATTTAATTGTTTTAAAGTGAAAAGCTTGGTAGATCTCTGCTTGTCCTCAGATGTTTTATACCGAGTTAAATGCAGACTTCCCCAATTTTTCCAGGTAAAGTTTGAGGATGAAGAGCAACGTGATCACAGGCTTACCAGCCATGTAAATCTAATTGATTTAGCTGGCAGTGAATGCTGCTCTACAGCTCAGACCACTGGAGAAAGGCTGAAGGTAAATCACAACTTGATATCTGTGGGGGAAAACAGATTTTCTTCACAGAGCACCTCTAATCTTTAACTCTGAAATATTCTCCTCTATCAGGGCTCTTGGACAAGAGTTGTCATAAAAGGATATGTAGCCCTTATAAATTTTTGCATAGTATTTTGCCTATGAGGGCAAGCAGCCTTAAAATGTATTTTGACTGTGCTGTATGGCAGGCCAGATCTTGCCTGGGACAGCACTCCCTTTGCTGTGCAGGCCTAATGATCCCCTGAAAGGCATAAGAATTAACTATGTGCATGAGCAGCTGACTTGCAAATTAGTGAATCAGATGTTACACAATTGGGGCTTTTCCTTTTTTTTTTTGGGAATTTAAATTGCGTTCCTATTAAGAGACAACTTGTCAACCTGCCTATGTTAAATTAATAGCTCTTAAGACTGTTAAAGACCAGGGTCTCTTATTTCTAAGAGAAGATGAAGAGTACTTTTGCATCTTGTTTTTTAATCAGTGGTGATGTTTGATATGGTATGCAGAAATAAGCATGAGTAAATCAACAGAATCAACAGCATCACACAAGCAAATACAATTGTAGGCTTTTTATTTTTGCTTTGTGTAGGAGGGTGTGAGTATTAATAAATCACTATTAACCCTTGGAAAAGTCATTTCTGCGCTCTCCAAGCTGGCACAAAATGGAAAGAAAACTTTCATTCCTTACCGGGAGTCTGTCCTTACTTGGTATGTATGCTCCAGGGTTTTTTATGTGGCAGTAAAAGGTTTTCTTGGGTTGTGAATTCTCCTTCCAGAAGCCATTCTTTCCTTTTACCTCCGTGTAGAGGTAGGTTGATAGGAGGAGCTGGGCAGGTATAATTATTCAATCTCTGATTTGGGGCTTAGTACTTATACTGTCTCTTTTCCTCCATATGCTTTACAAAAGATGTTACTATATCTGTCTGACTGCATCCTCACTTTGGTGCTGTTCCTTGTCCATCTTACCACTGAAGTAATTCTGTATCTCTTTTGCACTTTGTATGGTCTGTTTTTTAATTATTCATTTGTTATGTTGTTGTGCAGCAAAACCTTGAGTCTTGCACTGCTGCTTGTGTTAATTGTGACAGGATTGCTATGAAGTTTTTTAAGTGATTTGGACTGAGGCATGTGCTTTGGTGGCATAGCAGAAAAGTTATTCCCCATAATGGTGCTACTTCCAAAGTAATGTTCAGGTAAAGACAAAACTTTGAACGTGTGGCTTGCTTAGAGCAATTTGTTTGTTTCTGCACCCAGAGCAAGTTTCCTTTCTGCTTAGACATCTGAAACTTGCTTACCAAAATGACATACAGGGAGAAATAAACTAGCCTTCTGAATCAAGTAAAGAACAATATGACCTTAGTTTGTATTGTAAGTTAGCTGACAATCACTCTAACTACTCTCAAAGTAGCAAGATACAGGTATTATGTATGATGTACTTCTAATTTCCTGTCAAATAAAGGTTATTAAAGGAAAGTCTTGGTGGAAATTCACAAACTGCTATGATTGCCACAATAAGTCCAGCTGCCAGCAGTACAGAAGAAACGCTCAGCACTCTTCGCTATGCGAAACAAGCGTGTTCAATTATCAACGTGGCTAAAGTAAATGAGGATGTGAATGCCAAGTTAATCAGAGGTGAGGTTGACATTTGTTTTTCCATTTCTGTCTGTTAAATTTACTGCTTCTTGAGAGACATTAATAGTAATAATTGTTCTGACTGACCACTGATTTCTTTACTCTTCAAATGTTTTCTAATCAATTTTGATTAGAAAGTCAAACACTATCATCTTTGAGGAAGTTTTTCAGTTTCATGAACTCTTTAAAATTGGGACACTTTTATAAATAGCAGTTTGGTGCCCCCAGTAACACTCACCTTTAAGTATTGGTTGTGTTCAGTTTTTCTTAATTATATGCTGTTCAACTGCTCTGTAATTTTAAAAATAATTTTCCTCTCTGCTTTTTGTGTATAAACCCTTAACTAGGCTTCTAGGATATATTTTTCTTCATAACACTGTGCTTCTTTGTGAGTTGTGGGTGGTTTTCTTGTGTATTTTCAGTTGTTTTAATTTTTGTTATACCAAAGGTAAGACAATATCTTTAGCTACAATTGAGAACTTGGAATAGGGAAAGATGTTTTGCTTATCTTTAATAAGATATCAGGATGAGTATTCTAGTATTGTTCTGAAATGTCTAAATCCTTTATCTATAATTCTTAGTGTGTTATTTGGTTTTGGTTTGTCTCAGAGCTGAGAGCTGAAATTGAGAAACTGAAGGCAGCTCAGAAGAGTGCTCAGAACAAAGATCCTGAAAAATACAGACACTATTTGCAAGAAATAACATCTCTGAGGATAAAATTGCACCAGCAGGAAAGGGACATGACAGAAATGCAAAGGTAAGGTAGTCAATAACGTGTTTAAATAGCAAATAGTAAAATTTATATACTTCAAATTTGTTCTTAAGGCAGTATTATATTTTCCCTTAATATGTTAAGGGCTTGGAAAGCGAAACTTGAGCAAGCAGAAAAAAGAAAACTAGAAGATATAAAAGAATTGCAGGTATGGTTTTTTTTCTTTCACTTTCTCCTTCACTTTACATAGCAAATAATACAGAAAAGATGACATCAGCAATCCTTGCAGAAGAATTAGAATACTTTGAAGATTTGTTTTCCTCAATGCTGTTTTTTTTTAACAGAATGATATAGATATTGGGATACATAAAATAGTCTTTTTTGCTGACATCTTTTATCTAGAAAGCAGGAATTGCATTCAAAATGGACAATCGTTTACCAAATCTTGTCAATCTGAATGAAGATCCTCAACTTTCTGAAGTGCTGTTGTATATGATTAAAGAAGGAGAAACTACAGTTGGAAGGTATACAGCGAATTCAAAACATGATATCCAGCTTTCCGGAGTGCTAATTGCTGATGATCACTGGTATGTAGTATTCTTTGAATTTTTTTTTCTTTTATTATTTATGCCAGAGCAGGAAGTACTTTTGATCTTGGCTTTGCTGTTGGAGCTGCTGTTCCTTCTGGCAGTAGCAAAATATGGCTTTCTAACTACAGAAGATAATTTTTCCAATGTTCACTGATTAAGGAAGCTTGCTTCTATTTCTCCTTAGAAAGCTATTAAGCTAAGCAGTTCAATTTTGTTGTACATTTTGTTAATGTATTGAAATCTATTCATGTAAAAACCTTGCAGAAGGTCCTGATCAAATGATTCTGTGTATGATAATCCTTTCCTATTCAACTTAATGTGTAGTGAAATGCCTTTGCAATTCTTACTGTGTAACGTTTGTGTAATGTTGTAACTAAACAGTACAAAGACAATCTGCATCCAGAAAAAGGAAAATAGGACACTGTATAAAGTATTGATTTTTAGTCTATTAAGTAACATCGCTTGCAATTAACATAATCTATTGATGTAACAAATATTTGTTGTTTTCAGTGTTATAAAAAATACTACTGGCCAAGTGAGTATTATTCCACTGAGAGAAGCTAAGACATATGTAAATGGGAAATGCATTGTAAACCCAACAGTTCTGCATCATGTAAGTAGCTGACTTCGTAACAGAGAAATGTATGCACCTGTGGATTTTGTAGCTGTATTCCTATTTCAATTTCTGAGTACAGTTTTTCTGAGAGGGCTCTGATATAATTACATTCTTCTCAATTTCTACTCGTCGTCTCTGTTTCAAGCCCATAAATCTAAAAGTTATGGAATAATTTTTTTTTCTCCTTCCTTGTAGGGTGATCGAGTGATCCTTGGTGGAGATCATTACTTCAGATTTAATCATCCAGTAGAGGTTCAGAAGGCTAAAGGGCCATCTGGTGGAACTACGTTTTTGCACGATGGTCCGAAAGACTTTGAATTTGCAAAGAATGAGCTGCTTATTGCACAGAGAGCACAGTACGTACTCCTATTTTCTTTTACTAAAAGTCACAGTTGTTACTGCAACTCTCAAGTAGCTTGAAGTGGTGAGAAACTTAAGATCACTCATTATTTTGGTATATGTGAAAACTGGAAAATGGAATGTTTATTAACTCATTTTGTAATGGGAATGCAACTTCCAGATGTATCTGAAGTGAATGTTTACTTTTAAGAGGTGACACCAAAGTCTAGTCCACTTGCCGAGAATGCTGGCACTAGAGTAGAAAAGGTTAAACTACTGAGATTCCCAAAGTAGTGTATCTCTTCAGTTGCACTGTATCCCCGAATATATAATGTCAGAAACCTACTTGTGAGATTTTAGAGAGGCTGAAAAGCAAACATTCTATGAAAACGAGATCGATGTTACAGTCTGTGATGGTGGAGAATTTGAGAAAAGGCCATGTTATTCTTAGTTGCTTCTTTCTTGGGAGTTATTAAACTGCAAGTTGCATTGACTTAAAATATACTTTTCTGCATCTTAATATGATTTTGAGTTTCTGTTACAGTTCTTAATTTTATGAAAGAGGTGTAATGAAGTAAAACTTGAAGTTAAGTAGAATATAAAATATTTTTTTCCTTTCCACCTGTATCTGTTTTCTCTGAAATGAAAAATACCTAGGTAAAATATAGAAGTTGTAAAATATATCTTCACTGTTAACATTGGAGACTATTTAGCATTATTCCTTACGTCACAATAGAAGTGGGTAAGATTAATCTCTATGCAGCCTATAAGAGACTAAAGCCAGCATTCTAAATGTGTACGTGCAGGCTTGAATCAGAAATTGAAGAGGCACGACTCAAAGCCAAGGAAGAAATGATGCAAAGTGTCCAAATCGCAAAAGAAATGGTTCAACAAGAACTGACATCACAAAAAGAAGCTTATGAAAGCAAAATAAAGTCACTGGAAGCAGAGGTGGTAAGTTGCCATTGCATTTTTATAGAAAACAATAAAACAGAGTAAATCAGAAGGTAGTAAAACAGAAACATTAGTATGTCAGGATGTATTTGTTCTGTGTTATATCATGGTTTCTTTGTTTTCTTTTTCTTTCTGTCTTGCATACCATAATGGTATCTTAGAGAGTGCTGAGCCTTGTTCTTCATTTAAAAAATAAATACAAAAATGAAGTCACAATTATTAACTCAAGAAGTTAAGTAGGTATTATCTTCAGAATTATCCTAGGAATTTTGCTATGTATAATTAGTCATGAACTAAAATAATAATCCTGTGTGAATTTGATGAAAGTGTAACTCGTATGTGGACTAATAGCACTACAAAATTTTATTCTGTACGTCTTCTAAGTTGCTGTGTTATTTTAGTACGTGTTGTGTTCTCCATAGGAGCTGCTTGTTCTCAATGTATTGAAGTGAAAATAAACCTTAATATCTGCTTAGGGAGTGGATCAGAAATACTATAGCAGTGGCATACCTCCTTCTGTCTATCCTTGATTATGTTAGAGAGAAGAATCTCGTAAGAAGGAAGTGCAAGAACTGAACAATCAAAAGGCTGCAAGTAAAATACAGGAATTAGAGAAGGCAAAGCAAAATCTTGAACTAGAACTACACTTCAACAAGAAGCGCTTGGAAATGGAGACACTAGCTACTAAACAGGTAGTTATAAAACAAAACAGCAAGGTCTCTTAAGAATAAATGTAGTCTTTTTTTTTTTTTTACCTTGGTGTTCGTGTATCTGACTTCTGCAACAACTACTATTTCATTGCTTGATTTTTTTTTGCTGCTTCTGTTTCATTTCTGTATTTCTTTTAAACATTTCAGTATCTAACCAAAACAAGAAATCATCCAAAGATGGAAGATGAAGGGTTTCATACTGATGGCAGATGAGGAAGATGCATTTATTCTGTTGTAGAAGTCCTTAAAATGACAACGGGAAGACTAAGGATAAACATAAATAAGTGCTGTTGAGTTTCATGCCATGTTTTTTTTTCTGTCTTCCTCAGGCTTTGGAAGATCATACTATTCATCATGCAAAAATACTTAAAGCTCTAGAAGAAGAGAAACAAAAGATTGCTGAAGAAATTCAAACCCTTCAGAAGAATCGTGCAAGTGGGAATAAAACTGTGAATAGTAAGTATGTACTTAATGTTGCAGGAGCAGTGATTTCTCTTTTGCACAGTTGACTTGGATTTAATGAGTGTGGATCCAGAAGTTATTTTCTTCCTCTAATGCTTTTCTAACAAACATGAAAAATAAGTCTTATGGCTGCCTACCATCCTTTACTTTTCTGATACAACGGATCCGAGACAATGCTAAAAACTCTATTTCATCTCACTCAGGGTGGTTTGGTGGGTTCCCAGCTAGTCTATATTTATCCCAATTACTTAAAATTTCTTTCTTAGTGTGGCTGAACTAGTTAGGAGTTAATCCACTGGAGAAACTGGAGTAAGAATTGCTTCTGTTTAGTCTCCTGTATCAGATTAGCTTAATCCCTAGTATCTAATGTTAAGTTGTTATTCTTTATATACCCTTGTCTTGGTTGTTTTTTTTTTTCCAAGTGTTATCTATCTGGGAAGTTCTTTTTTTTCCCCTTCAGCATACTGAGAAAATGCAGACCAGCTAAGCGGCTAAATTCCATTCAAGATGCTGTGTGTGGTTTTGTTTTGTGTTTTACACCTTTAAGTTGTTCCGTTACACTACTGGTCATTATGTATGTTATTAAGTATTTTATTCTTTATTAGCTTCTCTTAGCTGGAATTCTTTGAAGTTATCTGTGATGATCAAAGAAGCCAACACCATTAGTAGTGAATTAGGGAAAAACACTATTTTTAACAGGTAAGTGTCTGAGTGAGCTGGTTATAAATGTATGTGGTGGGGATTCTGGAAGTGCAATCAGCTGTTTGTTGTTCTTTGAACAGATTTCTGAACATGACAGATCACTTTTTCCACCTAGCTCTAGAGGAATGTGTAACTTAGTTGTGTTACTTTGAAGTCAAGTTATGTTTACGTTAGGCAGTTCATTTTGGATCAAGAATGCTTTGGGGGTGAATCTCATGATGCCTACGTCCATCGTGTTTCAGCTCACATATCAGAGAGGTCCGAAGGCACATTAAATACTTACTTATTTTGATGACACTTCTAATCTTGGAGATGTTTTTTCAATGGAAATGATTCTAACTTTAGACAAAACTAAACCAGGGCATATGTGTCAGCCACTATGATGAAGCCCTATAAACTTAACACAGTAGAGGTAGTTTGAAGTGAAAACTTGAGGACATGAAAGCACTGGATATTGAGCATATGAGCCCAGTTGTTTCATATAATGGCCAGATATCCTTAGCAGGAGCAGAGATGCACACAGTGCAGGAGAATCTCTGCAGTAAATGTGGCAACAATAGTAGGGGTGAGTGGATGTTTTACTGTGGCTTTCAGATGTTTCTGGCAATAGAAGTTTAGAACATATATTTGGTTATGAGTTTCTTGAGACATAGGAATGAGTATGGGGTTATGACTGCAAGGATTTTTTTTTAAAATATAAATGTATTTAAAATGGAAACTGATGTTTGTATTTTGTAAGAAACATGGTGTCCTAGACTATTACTGGGCTTGTAATCAAATGTTTGGTCTCTGTATGATCTACGTACAAGTACTTCGTATTTACTTTTTTTTCTTATTTCCTCAAATTCTCAGGCATGACAAAATAGATGATAAAACAGGATCAGTGTCTTCTGTTCAAGTACAGGTTCGTAACATCAAACTGCGCATAGCAACTTTCTGGAGCCTGGAGAAATTTGAATGCAAACTAGCAGCTATGAAAGAACTCTATGAGGTCAGTAAGAACTTAGGGAAATCCACTAACTAATGAGCAGTAACATTTTGTTGAAGATATTTCAATAATTATAGTAATCATATAAGGAGAATCTTGGGTTTGTGGGTTTTTTTTTTTCTTGCTATGTGATCTTGAAAACCAAACATCCACACAGAAACACCCTCACCCTCAACATATACATATGTGTGTGTGTATATTTATTATATATATGTAATTTGTTGTATATGTATGTTTGGTTTTTGATATATGTATATCAGAAATTAAAATCTTTCATTGTCTTGATGAAAAGGGAAAAAATAAAAAACAATGTAAAACCAGAAAAAAATGAAAGAGAAAACATTCCTTTACAATGTAGTTCTGTGAGATGCAAAAATTTCCGGTGCTAGAAGTTTATTGTGTTTATTACTAAAACCTGTTTGAATCTTGACAATAGCAGAGATTCTATGTCAAATGCAAAAATATGGCTAAAACTATTACAAATTTATTTATTTTCATATCTGCTTTTGTGTGAATTACATACACAGAATTTAGTAGATCTTGTCACATGGAGAGAGCTGTGAAGATTTTTACTTGGTATTCCTGTATCCTATATCTCAAGATGCTGAATAGCAGAGTGTCTTCACTAAATGTCTCCTTTCATTTTGCATTTTAAAAACTTGCATGACCTAGATGTCAATTAGTTATTTCTTAAATTATACATTTCCTAACAAGAAGAAAAACATTAAAGGGGATTGGACTTGATGATCTCGGGAGGTTCCTTCCAGCCCCCACAGTTCTGTGGTTCTGTGATTAAATCTAGTGCTGTACAGCAGAACGTCTTCATCCTGGTATTGTATGCTTTATTATCTCTCGGTTTCTACTTAACCTTCCTTCTCCTCTGTTTCCTTTATTTCCCAGAGTAATGATAGCAATAAAGCTGCTGACGTATTTTATGACCCTGCTGATGAGTGGGAACCTGACCTTTCAGATGCCTCAGTTTCTTCTCTTTCCAGAAGAAGGTGATCATTTGGAATTCCTTCATCCCTGTTTAATACAAATCAGAAGTTACTTTGCATAATTATACCTCTGTGCCACTCAATCTTTTATTTATAGTTTTTTGGTTTAGATTATTATATTAACAAACATACAAATTAAATGAAAAATTAAATTAAAACCAAATTGATGTAAAAGGAAACATATGTGAGGAATGGGGAAAGTTAATACTGTATTTTTACTGTGAATTTTACTGTGTTCCCTTGTGAACTGTGTCTTAATATGCAATGAGTTGCCAATGTAATATTAAGAATTGCATTCCCACTAAAGCAGTTTGGCAGATTAAACACTAGTATTTCTAAGGTTGTGCAAAGCAATGGATGAGTAATCAGTGCCAGCAGGCTTTGTGTGTAACGGTTGACAATCAGCTGATGATAAAAGCTGTTCTTAATTATCTTCTGAGAACTATCTCCAGAAATTCACCAATTTACCTCTAGCATAGGATTTCTTGATTAACCTGCAGAGAACCTCATATAAGGTACAATGCGTATTCAATTAGTAGCACAAGCAGTCTTGAATAGGCACTTAAATTGTTGTTACCATCCTTACTTTTCTCATACACCATATTAGTGAGAACTTCTATTTGTTCATAATCTTATTTTTCCAAAATGGACAAGAAATAAGGGGAAAAGAGGTTCCCCCAGACCCCAGAGTGCATTTGGCCAAAACATGTGTGAGGCTTTGTAAACCAAATATCTAGGTATTGGTATGGAGCAAAATATATTGTTCAGGTTTTCTTCATGGCTCCTTAATACAACAGCAATATTTTTTAATAATAAATTGCAAATGGTCTGAAAACCTTGCATTTCAAGTTTTGGTCTTGTATCAGTGTTTATGATTTTAGAATTGTGCAATTTGTTGCTTGTAATACAAATGCTACTGATGCTTCCTTACAGCTTTGCTAGTGGGTTGCAGCTGGTTATTGTTATTTTGCTGTGAATCAGGTCACTTCAGCTGATGGTGAAATGGTGATCATTCCAAGTAAACAAGTTTGAAAAGAACACAATGAAAAAACAGTTTCTTTTTAGTCTAAATGTAAAATAATGTTGGAACACTTTGCCTTGTCTGAAGCTGCCTTGTGGACAGTATTATAATGTCGTAGGCGTGTATTCTTGAACCTCAGACGTGTACTTGTTTTCATTCTGCCTCTACTAGAAAAAACTGAACAAGAAAAGCTACTGGAAGAGGGAAACGGGCTTCCTTGCTGCATTGTCAGCAGCTGACTTGCGTCAGTCATACGTACTGGTGAATGAAATTGAATTCTATGATCTAAGATTTGATGTTCCTTATATGTAGTGTGAGGGAGCAAAAAGGACAGGCTATCTCAAGTTCTGTGTTAACAAGTTCTGTGAATTGAAAGTGTGTGTATATGTAAATACATATATATACACACAATTGCCTGGTGAATATTAACATTCATTGATCCTTCAATGAGCACTAGGAGAGAGACTCTTTAAGTTTTTAGTATATTGACATTCTCATCCTTTCCAGAAGTAGGAGTTTCATGAAGAACAAGAGAATTTCTGGATGTTTGTCTGGTATAAAAATGCAGCCAATCCAGAACATGCAAGCATCCTATATATCAGGTACTTACTGTATGGTAGGTCACTGTTCATATCGTACTGAGCACTTGGAAATACTACTTAGTATAATGCATGAACTTGTAATAATCATGGGGGACAAAACGGAAAGTGTCCCGATTGTAATGTTGTAATGTATTCACACTCAGAATGTTAATCTGTTAACAGTGGATCTTTTTCTTTGTTCCTATAGTTATGCTTTCTTAGGAGAAAAGCTTCTAACCACCACTTGAAACTGGTGGTTTTTTTTTTTTTTTTAAACGAGAGTTTTACTTGCAACATTACTATGCTTAACTGGTGGTTTACGGGAGAATGATGATAGCTCCAGAAACAAACTGCTGGTGGCTGAATGCTGGTACGGTTGTTTAGAAAATGTGCTTGAATTTTTGCTATTCATTTAGCTGCTAAGATTTGCCCTAGCTCTTTGTCAGGCTGTTTTTTCCCCAGATACTTCAGTCTTCAAATGTGCTTATGTAGTTATTTTAGGTTGGATTGTTTTCTTTTCTTTTCATTTTCTATCTATATTTTTCATTGTTGAAAAAGTTGGATTTATGTGAAAGAATTTCACTATGGAATTTGTACTAACTAATCCTAGAAATTGTGCAGAATTGCTTATACACATTTTTTTAAACTTGCTATCTCTGGCAGTTAAACATTTCTGAAGAAACAATGTAAAATGGCCATATAGATTTTCTGTCTGTTTATTTATGTGAAGAGTTTCAAGCCTACATATTTTACTTTTACACTATACAGGTGCACAGAATAAATCCAGCATATGCCCAAACTTTTTTGATTCTCTTCTTCCTGGAATTTGCAAAGAATCTATAAGTTCAGCTTTAGATTTACTGGAACAGAATCACGAAGGAGGAAAGAGCATTGCAGATCATCTCCTGATTAATTTGTTTACCATTTCTTCAGGAGTTTCTGCCATTTCTAAAGCTTACGAGCAGCAAGATGACGACTGTCAAAAAAATTGTAAGTCTGGCTTTCGTAACCATTAAGATAAACGTTATCAGTGAATTGCCTTTCAGGTGTACAACCATATGTTAGGTGATGGAAAGAATAAACATTCTTTGTTAATTTGTTGAGGAGATATTCTGAAGATCTCCTATGTCTTTTGTAGTTATCTCTCTTGACCATGATGCTCAGTCCTACGGCATCAAAATTACCTCTGCTTTTGACCAGCTTGTGGTACTGATCAAGACTTGGCTTAACAATGTGCAGAAGTGCATTGGATCTATGAAGATTAATGAAGAAATAAAACAGGAAGTAAAGAACTTGGGAGGTTATTTACAGTTACTGTTGCAGGTAAAGTATGCATTTTGGAAAAAGAGAATGTGGCTCAGCTGCTGTGTAGAGAAATCCTGTGCGTTAAAGTAATATTAACTACACATGTTAAAAACAGCCAAATGTCTAGCTGTCATTGCTGTGCTTTTCATCATGTTACAGCATTACAAGCTGTCTGAAGGCTAATTTTATTAGACGTGTTTAGTATAATATTATCATTTCTCTTTAAGGTGATGAGGTATTGGCTTCTATCTGTGGTAGAGAAACAGGTGCAAGTGGGAAGATATAAAGCTGAAAATGCAATGAGCTATTTGGCATTACAAATGTGTACTACACAAAGTGTGTGCTCTTTGAACATATGTACTTTCTAGTTTCAATGAATGCTTTTATTTCTAAGGGATGTTCTTCAGATATATCCTCAATGGTCACAGAAGCACAAAGCAAAGTCAATGAAGCAGTAAAGCAGACGATGAAATGCATAGGACACCTGGCAGTATTCACAAGAACTGATATTTCCTTTTTTGAAGAGAGCACTATTTCTACAATCAGCCTACAGGTGAAAAAGTTTAATAGAAATAATGACTTTCTAGATAAGTACAAAAAATACTTGAGAACAAAGGCTTGTTCCAAACAATGTCTTTTGAGTTCCTCTTGTATTCTTTACTCCTCTGTATCTTAAAACATAGGACTTAATTATGAAGTAATTTTAGTGTTGACATTCACAGTTTTCTCGAATAGTTGTGATCGTAAGTCTGGTTATATCAAACGATTTAAGAAATGGAATTAAGTTCTGAGTTTATCTAATACTTTATTTGTATGAAGATGAGTGTATGCTCATACTCGTACCACTGGAAGAGAAAAAACAAAATTCAAAATTACCAAACATCTCCCTGTCACACAATCAAGAAGCCCCAAACTTTTAAGTATGTACAACTTTCATATGCAAATGAGAAATGCTATACTTCGGATTGCATCAGCGCTGAGATCATACAAGTAGCCATATTTCAACAAGTTCAATATTTTCATCAGTATTCTCTGTTGATAACACACTGAATTTTCAGAAAACTGAATAAAATTAAAAGGAGCCTCTGTTATTCACACCTGGAAGAATCACACCTGGACAAATAGGCCAGCAATAAACAATTGCGTAGAAAAGAAAAAAAAAAGTGTATTTCTAGTCCATTATGGAAAATCCATTTCATTTCCAAGGTGTAGTGGAAATGTTAAGTGAGTTAGCACCTGGTGGGAAGGCAGGGCCATCCCAGGGGAGCTGAGATGCATGCAAGGGGTGGACTGGAAGGGGTTCTGCCCCTTCCCAGACAGCATTTGAGGGTTGGCAGTGGAGGCAAGGGTATTCTGCTGGAGATCCCTGCATACCTGAGGCCTTTCAAGGGTAAGCAGGTTTCTCAGTTTCTGTGCCCATGGCTGTTTCATTTGAGCAAGTACTCACTTGCTGCAGCCAGGAACTTTGCTGCTCTGCTGTCATTGTTGCATTTTTCTTTGTGTTACATTGTTACACGTGGCCATATGAGTTTCTTTAATCATGTTTTTACCCTTTGCTTTACAAGGACTTTGTACGTGCTGTTTATGATGGTGTAGTCTCAGGGCTGAATTTGCTTACAGATACTGTGCAAGAAAAAGCAAGAATGATGCAGAAAGAACTAGTGAAACAATATCCACAGAATGAGGTGAGATAATATTAAAATTAGAAATTACAGGTGTGTTTTTAGAGATGCTTTATCATATTGCTTTATTCTTCTGTAGTTCTTTCTGGAAAGTTTGTGTGGAATAAACTTACAGTGAGTAACAGAAGTATGAGATGAGAGAGAGATTGAAGTCTTGCAGAATTTTTTTCAATTTTCTAGCAAAAAGAATTGTACAAACTGCTTTCCAGATAACGCTATTAACTTGCAGCAGGTTATTTCTTACTGGCAGGATTCCTATGTATACTTTGTGGTTGAGATAATGTTTTAGCTAATGTCTCCAGCTACTGTGAAGTCAGAGAGAGTACACAAGAGTATGAGCTAAAAGCTTACCCCACTGCTTAAAATGGCAGTGGCATAATAATTACAGGAGAACCTTTCTTTAATGAGCACTGAAGTTTGCTTATTTGGTTCTCCTATATTAAGGACTTATATGAAATTTTGCAGATATGTTAACTGGTGGAGAACAACATAGACTATTTTATTTTTAAAAATTCCATCTTATGTTGCAGAAAACATAGCTTTTGCTTTTGAATATTATCCTTGTTAGTATTGTTAGCTCATTGTTCTGCTTCTAAAATGTTGTACTCTCCTGTGTCTTTACACAAATTTACTATTTAATTAAATATTCCTTTTTAGATTCAAAGTCAAATTAAGGACAATGCCGTGGCTTTAGCCAGATTCCTTGAAAGTAATGTGTCTCATTGCAGAAAGGTAAGTAAAATATTTCACCAGATTTATGCTTTGAAATTGGATTTTAAACTAAAAAGGTGCATTTAACAACAACAAAAAAAATCTGAGATTACCTTTCATATACTTACAGTTGCATGACACCTCTTTTCCCTTGTTTGGCATTCTTGTTTGGAACACTGCAGTTTTTCTGGCTACTGGATTTCCACTTAAGTGCTTGATTTTGTTTTTACTTACTGTTTCTAGGGTTATTTATATATTCTTCTAACTTTGTTCATTAATGGCCCGCAGTTCAGTAATTTCAGTGAAACTGGGTAACTACTGCAGTAATTAATTGCTGCAGTTGCTGGTTATTTGAATTAAAAGCTAGGACAGATAAATTAATCTACCTTCCAAGAACCAAGCCTTTCTTGGGATTTTAGTTACCTTGTTTGTTTGTTTTCTCTCTTGTCAAGAATAGGCACTTCTTCCCAGTAGCCTAACATCCTTTTTATTCAGTGTTTCAGTGGTCTACTTTTGTGTGATTAAGTCTGGAACAGTGTGTTAACTATTAAGGATTGCTGTCATGTATTTGGGTCTCTTTAAATTGCTGTTTATTAATACAGAAAGGAATACAATCTCACTTATCAGAAGAAGAATGGCTATATCAGGAAATAAAGAGAAGCACTAACATCGCTGCAAAATATTTGGAACTGGAGCGTTGTCTATCCGAAGTGCATCAGATTGTTTCTTCTACCTTACAAGGTATTTACCTGAGTTATTACCTACCTAGCTAATAACTTGTGGACTAAAGACAATCTGTATAGCAAGGAAGGGAGGGAAGGATGCTTGGTCTCTTTTTGCAGAATACTACCTTTCATTCTGTTTTTGTTTCTCATAGGGTCGTTCAGAAACACGAGCCTGCTCAGGAGCTTTGCGGGAGAGATTTCTATCATAGCTGGATATCTTAACAATTATTTCAGTTTACTTGCATTGTCTTCTGCTTCTGCAAGCAATCCTTTCCAGAGAACAACAATGCCATTTATGAACTTAGATGAATTGGACTCTCTTGTTGATTCACTTATTTTGAGTTTTGAACTTGAACAAGGACAGATAAAACAGAGATCTCAGGTTGCTTGTAATGAAACTACTGAGACTGAAGGAAGACAAGTTGAAACAGGTGAAGCAGAACTTTCTTGGAGACAGAAGGGAGTTCCAAAACGCACATATAAACTCCAGTCACCACCTGCACTTTCAGGGGAGCTCTCACCTGATAGGGTGATAGAGTGGGTGTAAAATACTGCTATCAAGAATTCAGGGAAATATGTTTTCTTTCCATGAAGTAAAGGTAACATATTACTGAATGCTAATACATACTGCTAGTATTGGTTAGTAAATGGTATGAAAATAATAAGTTCATTGTATGATATTAAGTACCTAGAATTTCCCAAGGAAAAAAAGAAATTTAAGACATATAGCTTTTTGTATTAATAAAAAAAAGGAATTTTCTATTAAATAAGCTTATTAAATTATATTATTAATTATAAATTAAATAATTAAATACAAAAGTTTGGGGGAAAAAAAAAGCAATGAACAACCAAAGAAAACAACACTGAAATAGAACTTAATATGATGTGAAGTAAGATACTAAAAACTGTTGGGGAAAAAATAGGGAACAATATAAATATGTTAGGACATTGCATCTTTTCATTTTATGCCTTCAACTAAGGTGCCTTAAGTTAGGGAGTAAGGGCAGTTAGGAATAATGTAGATGATACGGGTACCTATTTTTATTTTTTCTTAACATCGTTGCTTCTCTGCATTATGACCCAGTAGGGCTACAGCAACTGGAAGGTGTTTTTTATGCCTTCCACTGCTTGAAGTACTAACTTCATTTAAAAAGCAGACAAAAACAAAAAAAAAACCAAAAACTTTTGTGTTTGTTTATGTAGGGGAAAGAGATATCAAATAGCATTGTCAAGTATTTTACAAATCCTTATTTTTAGTTGTTTTGTAGTCTATTGAAAAATTTGGTCTTAAAGTAGCAGTGATAATGGTCTTCAACTCTGAAGCAAGTTCATGTTGTGTTGCTAGAAGTTATCTTTGCTCAACTCACTTTGAGTACTATTCATAGTGAACTAGAAGCATAGCATTTAGTAAATAAAATGCAAGTCATCCTGTGAGGCTGTGGAGTGTTGCACTAAGTTGTACAACTTACAAGTAAAACTAGAGCATAAGTATTACAGGCATAGGACTAGCTGAGGTTCAAGTTTCATGCATACAAAGTGAAAAATGAGGCAAAGATGGAAAGTATCTGACTAAATCTATGCACGTGTCTAACTGTCTTTCACAAGTGTTCTGTAAATCTAAGTGACTCTGATGTATATGTACGTGTATATAACAGAACTCCCATTGATAAATGCAGAAGGGTTTCACTCAGATCACTGATTTTTGGAACGTTGTATTCTACTGCTTTCTCATCACATGTTTGATTAGCTTACCTTTCTGCCTCGTTCTGAGGTATAATTTCTCTAGAAATGTATGTTGTGTTATGGCCTGGACTTAACTGTGCTACTTTTTGAACTATTTTAAAGAACGTAGTTGCTTGTTATACATCAGTATTTCATATTCCTTTATGACTTTTACTAGGATGTGGTTTGTTAAAAAGAATAAGGAACAGATTTACATCTTAGCCCTTCTTGTGGATTATTTCCTGCATTTTACTTATAGAATGACAGGAGCATTAGAAACAATGGAACTCTGCTAGGCAAAAAATGGCATTCCTGATTAGCTACTTCCTCGTGCTTTTTCCCCAGAGATATTCTTTAACCACTTAGCTTTAGTCTGCTTGTTAGAGCCAGTGAAAACTAACAGAAATGAAAGTGTTTTAGAATATTTATTCTTTAACACTAGATTCCAGGAGACCTGGGCTTAGCACATCTTACAATAGTGCTAAGAAAATTAGGATCTGCAACATAAATATTTTCTCTTGTATCAAAACTTGGAAGACAGATATTCATACTTAGCATCTTTACTTGTGAGGGAAAGTGCACAGCATCTTGAGAATGTTGGTTCAGGCTTTTAGAATTATTTTCTATGAAAAGGCTACAGTGAAGGGAGTCAATCATCCTTTTTGTCTGAAAATTAAATGGCTGTTATTTGGTGTTTTTGCACTTTTCTGCTTTGGAGGGAAATGTAATCATGCTGAACTAGTAATGTATTATCTGAAGGCTAGTGTACCTTAGTACTTTGTCCAAAAATGTCTTGTATTGCTATGCTACCATCAAAATTATTTAATGGTATTTATTGTATCTACTGATGTGTTCCTCAATTGAGGTGCAGTGTTGCTTAATCCCTTTTTTACTGTAAGGCCTTTATTAGACTTTTCAGGGGCTAACAAAGTATATTGAGTTATCCAGTTTTTGTACTTTTTTGAGTGAGAAGGAACTTGGTGTACATGTACTTTTGGAAATGTGTAATTTTGTATTTGGCTGGAAGTTTTTAAGTACTGCAACTGATTTTTCTGAATTGTTTACCTCTGTGCTAATGCTGTAGAGAGTTATCTAGATCATTTGTAACTTATCATAATTTTTACAACTTTAAATGTAAATTCCTTTTTGGTTTTCTTCTGTATAAAGTTGCTTTTGATACCTTCCTTTGTCATACTTGCTGGGAGCTTTTTGAAATACCAAAAGAAGTTACTTTTGTAGAACTGAAATGAAACAAAAAAAATTGATATCTTTATCTAAGTCTAACTCTCTCCTATGAGGATGCTTAACAGCACACGTTTAGAGGCCGAATACTTGTGATCTGATCCACATCTATTAATGCTGTAGTATTCAATCTTTTTCAATTTCTGCTTTTTTAGTGATGTCAGGGTTTTTTCAAATGTGTTACTCAATGATGTTCCACCTGCCAGATGATGAATCATGCTTGCTTTTCTTGTGCTTAATACTCAGACAATATCTTGGTTTTTATAGTTCTTTGTATCAATAATAGAATTTATCTACTACTCTTATTTTTAAAAGAGAAGGCCAAGTGTGTCACAACTCAGGGCTCAAACTGATTTTCAGTTTTTACTCTTGCTCAAGACCATGCGAGCAATTGGATTTGTGATAGTTTTAATGGAGGTATCAGTGGGTTGATGGGCAACTTTAATCATATCAGGTTTTGCTTTTGAACAATGAATGAAAATACTGTTAACAACTTATACAGCTTGTCTTGCTCCCTTTCATACTAACTAGGCTTTTGTGGCAGAAGAGCTAATTCATGGTTTGAACCAGTGACTGAGCATCTGGTGGGAAGGAGGGCCAACCCAGGGGAGCTCAGGTGCATTTAAGGGTTGGCAGTAGAGGTGAGGGTATCTCACTGGACTTCCCTGCATACCTGAAACCTTCCTAAGGTAAGCAGATTCTTTCCATTATTTCTGTGCCCATGGCTGTTTCATTTGAGCACTCACTCGCTGCAGCCAGGGACTTTGCTACTCTGCTGTCATTGCTGCACTTTCCATCGTCTTACAGCTTTAATCAGCTTCTGCAATTCATCTTGTTAATACTACATTCGCACTTCTATGTAATGTGTCAACACAATCTACTTCCTGCTAGTGTTCACTAGGTGCCCTTGTTACAGTTATACGTCACTGAAGTACTTTACTCATACAATATATGGTAACTATACATTATCAGAATGAGTTAGAGCATATTGCATCATCATCAAGCTGAGTACTGAAAATCCAGTAATTTATACATGTAATATACCATCAGAGTAGGCATCAGAGTGAGGTATATTTATAACTATAGGTTGATCAATCTATAAATTATGAAAGTCAAGGAATTGTGATCACGTCAGGCAGATTTTGGGATGAATTGTTATGATTAGGAACACTTGTGCCTTTCTGAATAATTAGAGATAGGTATGAGCTAGGACCACCTCAGTGTAGCCTTTGTATGTAGCAGCTAATGCCTTAGTGGATGTGGTAAGGGTTATGTGAATGTCTGCTGGTGGTCTCACACAGATGTGGCCCATTCCTGCTATTCTGGGCTCTTGCAAATTCAGCAGGACCATGAGTCTGCAGCCTCTCTGTCCCTGGGAGAATTTCATGGGCTGCCTCTTGAGACATACATTTTGCATTTTGTCACCTTATCTTGCTTTTTTTTTTGTAACTATCTTCAGTTGCAACCATAGGAACCTATAGATCTGAATCGCATGTATTTGCAAAGAAGGGGTTTCTATGGCCCAAGCTTAGTTACTAACACAGAAAGGAGGGACAGTGGGGAAGGCATTAGTAAGAAATCTTCAGAGACCTGAGTGGGGTGTACTTTGTTTTGTGTACTGATGTATTCAGTAGTTTGTGGGATATCTTTTCCCTTCCCTTAATGTTCTCCCTTATATCACAAAAAAAACCAAAACATTCTTGAGACAGAATTCAGGTAAAACTGTATGTACTTTTAGCAATGCATTATGTTGATTCTGAGAACATTGGTCTTCTGCTTTACTGCTTTTTTTTACAATTCATTTTAATCCCCAGTCAGGGTAAAATTATATTTCTTTTAGATGAAGATAATTACCCTGGGAGAAGCATATCTTCAGAATATGAATACTGGATTATTTGAGAAGCCTTCAAATAATCTCATCTTTTGAGACATTGTATAAAAAGGCATAATGCAGTTATGCCTCATAAAGAAAGTGTACCAGTGTTAGAAAGTAAGGATATATAAACCCATTACTCACTAACTCGTAAGAGTATTGCAGGAGAAGAAAACCAGCAGGCTGCCATTTAATTTGATCCAGTAACATCAGCCTCGAGAAAAAAGGAGCCTACATCTGCTTCAGTTCTGCAAATAAGCTGCTATTTTTAGACAGGAATTTTCCTTGCACTCATTATATGTTCTAAAATACTGTGATTAGATGAGTCTTGTTGCTTGCAGAAATCTACATAACTTTTCTAATCTCATCGTGGTAAGGTTGTTTGGTTTTGTTTGTTTTAAAAGGGTATTTGAATTCCCTTCCTAACTTTCATAGGAACTGAGACTGTTGGTGCCTTTTAGATAGTGAAGTCCTGATCTTTCCCTCTTAAAAAAAGACAAATACGTTGAGTAATTTTGTTTTCTGCTATTTTTAGGACTTGGTATGTATATGTGATAAGATTTTATTTGTTTTTTTCCTCATCTTCAATTTTTTGTTTTTGTTCTTGTTGTTTTGTCATGTCTGCATTTGTGATGGTTTAGATTCCAGATCAGGAAATGATGTATATTTTAATCCATGTTCTTATAATTTGACTGTTGCAGTGAAAACAAAACAAAAAGAGATCTCCTGAGCTGACAGTTCATCAACAATAAACCACCGGAAAAGCTAATACTTGCAGGTATCTTTCCATCTTGTGAGGTGCTTTTTTAAAATCTCAATTATATAAGTACAAGTAAAATGTGAATAGAAAAGTTTATGAAGAATTGAAGGAAAGAAAGGGAATAGCAAGTAAACTTGTAGTCATCTCTATTAACGAAAAAAAGAGAAACCCAAACAAATAAAACTCCAAACATATAAAACTGAAGAATACATTAAATGACTTTCATCCAGTTTCCTAATGTTACTTCATTAATCTCTGCACAACGCTGGTAGGTTAATAACAAATACTAATCTTGATAGATGTTATTGTCTGAATATATTGTTATATTATAATGTATTTTTTGCATACAGATCTATATAGAGAATAGAGACAAACATCAAAAGTTAAAAGCAACCAAACAAAATTTCCCAAACCTACGAAGTAACCATGATTGTTTTGATTTGCTATTTAAGAGTCTGTAGGTTTACTGAAACTTTATTTGTATTGATTTAAGGATGTGTTAAATGGCACCGACACACTTCGCTGAGTACAAAACTGTTTGGTTTCATTCCCTATTTGTATCTTAAATTGCTGTAAAAATGCTGTCATCTAGTAATGATGTGGTGTTTTCCTCTATTTTTCTATAAAATTAACGCGCTTCTACAACTCCCTCTAGTGTGCATACAATGATATTGATAAAGTGATACTTAGAAAAAAGAAGCTGCGATATATACTGATGTAAGCATATTTGTGCACAATCTTGCACTCCAGTGTGAAGTTACATATGATATGATCCCAAGAGGTCTCTTCTTGTACGATTCTGTGATTTGTTTGCAGCAAAACTTTACTATCTGTTTGTGGCCATGTATGCAAGGAGACAAAAAAGCCCAAGGCAGCTCAATAAATTATGATGTTGAAATGTGCTTATTACATGCTTTGAAGCAAAGCTATTTTGTTTTAGAAGTGGAGTTCCTTACAGCTTTATTCTGGAATATGCTATATGTAGGTGTCCTAAGCAGTTTCTAAAAGAAAACTTTGCACAACAGACTTGACAAAATCAGAACAGTAATTAGCAAATAATACTAAAGGTATTTTCATTCTCCTGAGCTATTTTTATCAGGTTTGTTTGCTACTGGTAAATAGGACTCAGTTTGTTTGATATTCCTTTTTATTTGCCCACTGCCAATCTCCCACTTGCAAGGAAATAATTTCAAAAGTTCTGTGCATGCTTCTTACCACTGAAATTTCAAGATGATCAAATGTGTTAAATAGTTATTAGAAATAGTAGAATCAGAAAAGCTTACATCAGTGTTGACTTATCTGGCTTTCAGTTTTTGATTAAAACCAGTAATATGCAAGTTTAATCTCTTCCCATAATCTTGGATCTTTCTACAAGAGGATTAATCAAATGGTGAAGAGCATAAATAGCGCATACATTATGCGTGTCATATTACATAAGGGGTGTGTGTGTGTGTGTATGTATATATATGAGGGCTTTTGTCAGCTATGTCTCCTATTTTATTATGTTGTTCTGTGAAATCGGAGGTCTATGACATGGAAGTCTATGTGAAGATAAAATGTGCCACCGAATTCCTCCCTGAGGAAAAAATGGCACCTACTGGCATTCTTTGATGCTTTCTGAACATTTCTGGAGGACAAACAGTGGATGTGAACACAGTGAGGCAGTGGGTGGTAAGTTTCAGCAGTGGTTGGCCATGCAGATTTGTACAAGCATGGCATGTGGGCTCTTATTTGCAGCTGGTGAAAATCTATAGCTAATGGTGGTGACTTGAAAAATAGTGTTTTGTGTCTGAGAGTCTGCTGTATCAAATAGCATTGTTATGGTCTTTGAATCTGTTGTAGTTTCTGTGGAAATAAAAAGGCGACATGACTTTCAGAGTGACCTACGTACGTATGTTATATGTAATAAAGCTAAACTTTTTATGCTAACTTACCACTCTGGAGAGTGTAGTCTGAGGAGAGGTATTCAAAGGTGTTAATTCCTTTGTACTTTTCATCCTGCTATGCAACAAGATTTTCTCTGTTTGCTACTCACCAGGAGAAGGAAGCCAGATGGTTATACAAACCTGCAGATGACATGCTATTAGTTAGCACTAAGAAAAGATGAGGCTTGCTGTGCGCAGCAGAAGATTGATAAGCAGTGGAGTAATGCAATCTGGGTATTAGATCATTTACTTCTATTTCTTGGTTGTAAGTAACTTTTGTAAACACGTCTCTAAATAATCAGCTGCACATGTCTAAGGTGTTACCACAGGATTGAACCCATGCTGCTGTGATGTTAATGGGATTCTGACTTCTGGGATCACCCAGAGATGCTGCAGGCTCATCTGGTACTGAGGGATCTGTACAGAGGCCTCCTGACAGCTTTTGTTAGACTGCAGGCCCCTCAAAGATTCTAGTATGAAGAGCACCCAAGTCTGTATGCTGTTGTTAGAGCCACTACTATGTCAGCAGATAGATGGGATAATTCCCTGCTTAGTCCTATAATTAAGTAAAATTTCTTAATGCCTGGATTAATTCACTACTTTTCTGTCCAAAATCATTTGTCATTTATTAGCGTTTATTTCACAATTCTATTATCTTTGTAGTAATCCAACACCTTAATTTTGACACCTGACAGCACATTCTGTGAACAGCGTTTTCAGAACAGAGGACAGGAAGAATTCTTAGAGGTTGGTGGAGATTTTTCTTTTATTTTAGAAAGGGAGGAAAGAAAGGATCTGCTTGGCTATACCTTGTCTTTATTGAAAAAAATAGTTTCAAGAAGGTGAATATTTGATAGGGTTTTTTCTTAAATTCTGTCTACTAAGATAGTGGAAAACCTTGGTCAAATGTTAACCTGTTTACTCAAAGGTAGTCTCAGGCGTTTGAAGTGTATGTCACAATTTACAGCAAGTCTTAGTTATTCCAATTTCAGCCTCTAGATGGAAGTGTCTCATAAGGATTTTGATGTTGTGAGGCAGCAGTAGTTGCTGAGTGAGCTTGGGAGCAATCTCATCGCTAGCTTTCATACTGTACTAGCAAAAAGTATTGTTTATAGGGTACTTTCCTTTCATATGTTCCTGTACAAACAGATCCATCTCTAAGAATTAAAAAAATAGGTTATTTTTGCATAATGAGAGCTGTTGCACATTTTGCAGACAGGTGAGTATTAAAGTTGTCTCCTGATGTGTCTATCAAGTTTGGCACTTGAAGGTGAGGGTGCTGTTTTGTGCTTTGTTCAATTGTTCTTAGAAAGCCAGGAAAAGGTGCCTTTCCTGGCAGATCAGATTTCAAAAGAGTGTTTTTGTTTGCAGAGTACTGATATAATTGGGTTGCAATAGCTGCAGTTCGACCTCTCTAACTTCTGATGCTACTGAGTTGTCATAATGCTACCTCCTGTTCTCCTGCTGTGGCTGGGATTACATGGGAATCTACAGTGCTTCTCACCTAGCAGATCCGAAGTGCTTTGCAAAGGTGAGAAACTGTTTCCTCTTCAACAGATAGGGGAGAAAGTATCAAACAGATTAGAGGGTTCCTATTTCTGATACAGAGCAAATCTTCAATTCTATCTTTAAGAACAGTCCTTACTATAGAAACAGATTCTTCTGCAGGATCTTTCCTCTCCATTTGGTATTTTTAATATTGAGAGAATAGTCACGTATGAGCTGTCACAGAGGTGTGATTTAGTACATACTGTGCACAGATACAATGCTGGATTGGAACTTAGAGTTAACTTTCTGGAGACAAACTGTAGACAAAAACCTTGTATAGGACAATAGCTGAAGGAGGTTTTACCGTTTGAGCTTAAGAGCACTGTGTGCAGGTGAGCCCTGCAGTTTTGTTTGCTTCGTGCTTGTACCTAGAACCCCAGTGGAACTTGCTTTTAAATCTGTCTTCTAGGTGACCCCTTTTCATTCTCCTTGAAACTAGAGTTTTGGTTTACAGCAGTGGTCTAAGAAATATGAGGCTTCAGTCAAATGCACAATACGTAAAACATATTTATGACACTCTATTGGTAGGTTGTGAAGTCCAGAGAATTAAGATAGCTCTGGGCTATGTGCTTCAATCTAGCAATGCTGTATCCTGAGACGGCACTTCTCAGTGCACAGGATGCTGGTAAGGGCACCAGGGATCTGTTCTTCATAAATGCCCAGAGAAGGAACACAGAATAGCAGGCTTCTCTTTTGGTTTTTCAGAGAAAAAGTCTGAATGATTAAAAAAGAATTCTTTAAAAACTGCACTATTAGTAGTATCTAATAGACATAACTGTTGAAAATCACCACAGTATTGTAGAAATGTGGAACGTTGCATAGCACCCTAACCTGAGCGTCTCATCTTTCCTTGTTCTTGTGGCTGGTGTATTTAAGTTAAATAGGACGTTTGTTTGGGACTGAAGGCATGATGAAACTCACAATATGTCTTCATCTGCTATGTCATTTTGAAGGAATCATCTGGCAGGCATTTTCAGTAGGAGATAATTCAGTATATAGCACAGCATACCAACAGCTTTTCCCACTTCTGTTTGGGCTCTGAAGTCACAATACGTATTAGTAAAAAAATAAAAATAAAAATTCTTATTATAGAATTGAAAACATATCTGTATGTTATATAAAAAATGTGACTGCACAAAGTTAGCTTTCTGTTGAATAAAATCATTTTTACAGTCACGTTCTCTGACTGTATTGTTTGGAAATTTGCATAAATCAGGAGCTGCGTGCACTTCTTTTGAAAGACTATCAACACTCTTCATGCGATCAAAAGAGGCCAATAAAAGCCATATTTATGTAAATAGTGGTTTGGCTGAATTATTAGGTTCCTTTTAGATGCATCCAAACCCGGTATGTAATGGATTTCTGTTTTCTTTGCTAAAAAGGAATGAGTGCATTCCTGTGTGTGTGCACATCTGATCTGTTTTCTATTACTTCTGCGCTATCAAATATCACAATATTCAGAGCACAGTGATGTATTCCATCTTCACAAGATGCTGACATTGATGTTCACACTGCTGGTAGTTGCATAGCCTGTGCTTTGTCTGCTGGAAGCACTTCACGACCTTTGGGTTTTCTTATTCATTTTCATATGAAAGTTATATAGCTGTTTCTGTTTTAATGTGAAGAAAAACTAAGGCTGTACAAGTAGTTTGAAAAGGATATAATGTTGTTGTAATTTGCCACTGCAAAGGTTCTATCAGGAATTTTGTTAGATCAAGATATTTTCCGATGCTATTTAGATTGCATCAGTGCTTAGCATGTACTAGGTACTTTCCAAACATAGAGTAAATCTCTATCCCAAAGACCTCAGGGCAGAAGACAAGTGGAAAAACATTCCATTAGGTAATTATAATAGAGAAAGTTTGTTTATATAATACAAGTAGCTTTTCTTATGTTATGTTGCTGTTCCTTAGAAACACCACCTAGGAGAAGGGTTAATTGGACCAGTTTTGAAGGGAGGTCAAGAAACTAGGGGGTGGGGGGGGAATAAACCTGACCTAACAAATTCCTGAAATCTCCAGTATGGTGAAGGTATGAAGATAAGATACACGTTAAAATATGATGCATTTATGTTGTACCTACTGAGCTTTTCACAGGGCTATTGAAAAGTAGTTACAAATTCCATACAGCTTACACGAGTGATTCCAACTCCTAAATTTTCCCAGTGTGTTTACTGTGTCTGTTCTGCAGTGCCAGTGAGTACAAAATAGTCACCTATTTATCAGAATAATTTGATTAACATTAAATTAAATTAGGTCATTATATTCCATGAAGAGCGTATACAGCTCTCAAAAGTTTGGCTTGGTTGTAGAAGGTATTTAAGATAAACATGAAAGGTATCTCCCGCCCCTCTTCGACAATCGATGCCATCGTAGTTAATAAAAACTAATAAGCATATTACTTTCCAGTGGTAATTGTAGACTGCTGTTTACTTGAATGAGTAGTAAGGCTATTTTATTCTGTGCTGTTGTCCAGTAATTACTCCAGGATCTCTTTTGCGTTTATATTAACTAGGAAATCATTGAGCTGTGTAAATAATGCATGTGCTTAGCGAACACAAGCGTGATGAGGCCCGTATAAGTTGCATGGATTTGCAGTGTGGTCTCTGGAAAATACCTGTGTCACTCTATGGTAAATAGTAAAATTTCCACACATGCCACAAGCAGCATCTAGCTCTTGTTAACTTATACCACTATTAAAATAAAAAGGTCGAATACAATTCTTCAAAGATGTGACAGCTGCATAAATAAGGAGGTTGTTAAAGTGTTGTATTATATGTGAGATTTTCTAATAACTGCCATGTTCTTTAGATGCGCAGATACCACTGACTGTAAAGGGTTTCCAGCTTCTATACCTTTTCAATTATTCTGAAAGCCTTCTTCCAGCCTTTAAACTGACATTGCAAAGAGATGCACAAAGCGCACTTAATCCTTCCAAGTGGTGGCTTTAAGTACCCAGGCTTCTGACTAAGTGTTTTCTTTGATGTTTAGTTGAACTTAAAGCTTTTGGCCTGTCAACACTGGACTGAATTCTGTGTAACAGAGCACCGTGGGCTGAAATTCAGTTATCTCCACTCTTTGTTCCGAGAGATCTCTGTTAGGGTTGCCTTCTGAAATCTATGGAAAAATGTTCATATGTCATCCTGGGACATCTTGATCAGCTTACTTTGAGGAAAAATGTTTTTCTTCTTTATGCTTTTAATTCTTTTACGTTCTCTGTATCTGCAACTATGTTTTGGTGTGGACAAAGCTGGATTCAAAAAAGCAGGGATTAAAATGCATTAATGACTGGAAAATTAGTGAACAAGCAAGCAAATCACAGAACTGCTTACTCGATTGTTCTAGTGAATAAGTATCATTGCAACTTAAGTACTGAACAAATTAGACAACTCCTTCAA